AAGCTTCCATATTGTATTCCACATATTGTATGTGTGACATGGTGGTGTCATATATACAAAGGAGGAGTGAGTAGACTGAAATACTGCCCATGCTACACTGGTGTGTCTCCATCCTCGGGAATACAATAGTTGGCCATGACTCTTCACCCTTTGGCCTATCTATTTAAAACCAGCAATCACTGATGCTTGTGTCAATCCATCCTCGGGAATACAATAGTTGGCCATGACTCTTCACCCTTTGGCCTATCTATTTAAATAGATAAATTTAAATAGATCAATCACTGATGCTTGTGTCAGCACAAACAATAATTTAGATTTAAAAAGTGGCAGGTAGTTTTGCTTCATTTTCTGTTTCCAGAGAGAACATGGCCAGGAGGATTGTGACAGGGTACACCACCTCAGGAGTGGTCTCAAATGTATCCATGTTTTCAATAGGATTGTATGTAGCAAACTGTTTCTTAGAATTGCTGGTAGAAATAATAAATTCAGGTGCTTCACCTGGAGTTGCCAGAGTGATTTTTGTTAACTGTCCCTGCTGGATTCACTGGATCTACTGGAAATCCAGCACTTGGAAATATTTTAATCAAAGAGCAATTGACTTGAAATGGTCCCAGATTGTTCATTTCATTTTCTTCTTTCTTTCTGTGCCAGTGAAAAAGTACCCATTGCTGTCAACATCCAAAGCCTCAATTTACTATTTGGCAACATTCGCCTTCTCTTGACAGCTTGAATACCAAGATCAAGTATTAAAAGTATGGCCTGGCTGATGAAAGTAATTAAGAGACTTCTCTCAGCCAGGAGAGTTTACTAACCCCATTTATTGCAGTAAGTGGAAGAGACTTTCAGTCTCCTGTCAGAAAGAGACCATTGGTGTGTGCACGTGTGCCCTTGTGTACTGAGAAGGAACTACTGGAACACACTCTTGCTGGAATTCAGGCTGGAGCGAGGCAGGTGCCGGTTGCTGTCAAACCAGTGTCAGTCAGTGGCTGGCTGAGATGAGAGTGAAAATGGAGCAAGCACTGCCAGGGGTCCTGTCCTGCCCTTCCACTGCCGGCCACTTCTACAAACCATCATCAAGTGAAGCAGAGTGAGGCTGCATTTCATCAAAAAGGGGGGACCGTGAGATCAGGCTGAAATTCAAGGTGTAGGAGATCCAGGAGGATCTGGAATGTGCTTAGGAAGGATGCTGAGAGTCAGTAGACGTGTAAGTGTAAGCAGGACTAACGGAGAAGTGGGAACCTGAAGGTGTGAGAGTGGGTGTGTTTCTGTGCCTGTGTCCCTGTTTTGCAAACACCATCGCATCGGATATTGTACAAATGGTGTGTGGGAACCACTCAGCAGTGAGTGCTGCAAAGAACTGGTGATGGACAAGAGTTATGCTGCTTCCCTTCCAAACTAGATGCAGGAAGGATGTGTGGGCGTCAGACGTGAAAGAGAGGAAAATCAAATGCTACTCACTAAAGGAGTGCAGAGTGATGTGACATTAAGGCTCTGTGAGCTTTTTGCATAAACCTGCCTCAGGGAAGTAAGATTTTCATTTTCAAGCAAAATCCAGGCTATGCTAGGATCCCTGCACTGGCAGAGCTTGTGCATGGGGAGCTGCAAGGTGAGGTTTTCACCTCTGAGGTTGCAACAATGCTCATATTGGCTGCTCCTATCTTTGCCATCTGCCTCTGTGAAATAGCCTTTTGTCTCCTAACAATAATCTCTGTTCTCATCCTGCTTTTCTTCTCTGGATGCTGAATATGAAGCAATGTCTCGTTACTCATTGTACAATCAGCAGCATCTCCCCTGAGAGGGCAGCTCCTGCTTTGTGGGTTGTGCACTCCCCGTGCGTGCTGAACGCTGCCCCTCTGCATCCTCGTTACGGTCTGCCAGCATTCATGGCAAAGTCAAACCTTGCCTCTGGGATTGCAGAAAGCTTTTAGGGCACATGTAAGTGGTGAGCACAACCAGCACTGTTCACAGCCAGCCTTCTTAACAGATATGAGATCCCTTCAAGTGACCTGGGATTGCTGAAGACAAAAATTCTCTCATGTAAAGTGCATCTCTGCCATCTTTCTGCCTACCCTTATTCCAGGGCTCTGCTTTTTCATGCAGCAAAGGTGCGTTTATGTATATCTGTGAAATCGTGTTTGGTGATCAAAGTGTAGTTGCACCACTAGGTGGCAATGCGATAAATGCAGGGAATCCAGCAGCCAGCCAGACGCACCTCACTTTCTTAAGGAGTGAAATTCTGGCCACCAAAGCCTGGAGTGACACCCCCAGGAGCTCTTACTTGGCCTAACCAAGTACAAGCAGCTCGCACAAGCAGTAACAGGAGCTCCAGCATCACTTACTGAAACTCCCTCTTCTGAGGTTTAATAATTAGCCTGTAATTAACTGAAACAGAAATTGTCATGCTAGAGTCATAATGTTTAGCACAAGACATAGGGCAACCTTTTTAAAATGTGTTTCTCCTTAGTGAGGCATTACAGATGTCGTTTGGAATATGTAAGGATTTTATTTTGCTAAAGAAGTAGTTTTTGAGATTGAAAAAGACAATTATCATCCTCTAATTGGCACTTGGTGTAATGTGATCCCTTAAACGGACCTTGCAGAACTCTCTGGGAGCTGGGCGGTTTCATTAAGATACTCAGTCTGGATTTACTGACATCAAGGGAAGTTCAAGCACATCTTAAATTACCCTGTTGATTACCATCATTGCTGTGTACATTTCTAGGCAGGTACCTGCTGTGCACACATCTCTGAAAGGAAAAAGGGGAAGACCAAGGGCAGGAAAGGTAGGACTTGTATCTCTTGGGGTTTTCAGGAGTCCAGTGCTCACAGAGCAAGCAGAGAGCCAGGCATTCAGGACCTCTGCAAGCTCACACCCTCCATCACATCCAGGTAAGTGTAGGTCTGCACCTTGGAGACATTGGGCTTTGACTGTAAAATTAGCAGTGTTGTTAGAACAGAGCTAACACGCTGTTCTCTGCAGCGTCTGATCTCTAGCATCTGAAATGGGTCTGTCTCTTCTCTTCGTGTGTTGGTGTGTGTGCTGAAGGTATAGAGGCATTGCTTGTTTTAATTCCACGTAATTTTTCTCCATTTTAGGTTGAAGGTGGGGAAATGACAAAAAAAAGAAACCCAGAAAACTCGTCCTCCCAAAGTCCTTCTACCCATGCAGGCAGGGACAAGCTTACCAGGCACGTCTCCATCCTTCTCCTGCACAGAGCCGAGGCTGGGTCTTGGCCCAGTTAGGTGACTGCGGCAGCCCTTGTCTCAGTGACAGCTGCTGTAATAGTTGGTCCCCAGACGTGTGCAAGGATCTGGATTTAGCTTCCTTTTATTCAGGTTGTAACTGTGATTTCTCTGTGGGCATTGTCTAAAAATAAAGCAGGACCTGTCGGTGGTGGAATGAAGAATAGGCTGGCTCGCGGTGACCGCTCTCCTCCCTGTGTAATTCAAGGCTCTTTCTGGGAACTGCGCACGTCTCTTGGAGGATGGTGGCTTCTTCTCCCTCTGGTGTACAGAAAAGGGTCACCTTCTTATTGCCAGCTGAAGGGGGTCCCAGCCTGTCCCATGTACCTCAAATGCTTGTTCTACATATTTCAGAAGGAGAGGGTGAAATGCCCTTTGTTTCACATGCTGGTGCTGGGGAGCTGGAGGCAAGCAGCACATCTATGTGTGTCCTGCCAGATTGCTTCAGACTGGGGAGATTTCAATTGCTCCTCACCTCCCAGAGCTAAGTATCACTCTGTGATACTTGTGGTTGTATATATTACTGCTGCAAGACAGTTTCTAAGACCTGACATAAATGTATTTTTCCAAAAGCTCAAATCGCTGTGTGTCATCACAGGAATTCTTTGGAGCAAAATGGGGTTACAAAAAGGCACAAAAATCATCCTGATTCCTGACAAATTCAGTTGGACACTGCTGCAACTGTGTTTTCTCTGTATAAAAGCATAAAGCATGGTCCACTGAGTTCCCTCTCTCTGGGTTTGTTAGCAGCTTTTGGTTTTAGAGCTCGGGAGTGAGTGTACAGACTTTTAAGATATTAGCAGTTAATAGAGTTGATAATTTATTGCTGATTACTTCAGAGGGATACTAAAGCTTCTGTTTGTTTTTTATGACTTGTATAATGATTCAGTTGAAGTCTGGGCATACAAATCAGCTTGATTTATTGGTGATGTAACAGTGAAAGTTCAAAATAAAGATATGCATGTTAAAATGTGATAAACATATCCTGATTGTTGTCTCTGTGTGCTACTGCATTTTACCCCACAGCTACTTGTTTAAAGTTAAAACTTCATTTTATATTTCCTGGTATATGTCATAAAACTAACCTTTGGGATAAGGAGCTAACAGCTCATCTAAATCAGTTTGTTCACACACACCTGACCTCTTTGAGATTTACTCATATACTGAGAATTAAAAATACACTTCTTCCTTTTTACCCACTCCAGCTGTATTTATGGAGAGAAGCTGTGTGGTAAACTTTTTCTGTATGCTTTCCAACTGTTTAGTTATTTCAATCCTTTCTCAACTGACTATTTTTAAGGCTCTTTTTCACAGTTGTATTGGTCCTCCAAGAGCTCCACTTCTGCCTGAAGCTGCCAAGTCAAAGCCTGTTTTATTTTTTTCAGCATACTCAAGTCCAACAATCTTATCTTGGCTTATCGCTCCTACCAGCTTTCATCCTAGCTCCCTCAAATGGAGAGCAAGAGGAGGCAGGTGCTGGGACACAGAGATAAAAGAGAATAGAAGCAGGACATTTCACTAGGATTTAATGCATATTAAAAGGGGGGATTAATGCTTTTTCATTTTCACATTGCTCTGGATGGGCATCTTACTGTATCTTTGGTGAAGTAAAGTGACCTTTAAACTTCTTGGGACAGGACTGCAGAGAGAGCTCTGAGCACTTCTCAGAGCTGAAAGAGCTGAGTACTACAATGTGTATCTGATGTTAGTGCAAGGCTGATTTTTCTGGCTGAAATTCTGTTTCTCCTTTTCTGCAGGGTTTCCTGAAGAATGAAAAAGATAATGCATTGCTGTCTGCCATTGAAGAGTCTAGGAGGAGGGTAAGTTGGAAGAAAGCACCATTGGTTTTCCCTAAAAAAAAAACCAGGAGAGATTTGCAGAGTTCAGTTTTCTTCCCTTGAAAGGGATCAGTATTTAGTCTGTAAGAAAAAGACAGTTAGCCTTCCCCTCTTCATCTCCTGTATCTTCACCTCTGAACAAATAGCTGTTTTGAAGATCATCTGAGCAGCAACTTGTTTACTGATAAGAAAATCATCTAATCCTGTTTCTGAATCTATTTGTGCTTTTGGTATCTGTCATGTTCTGGGACAATGATTTTCACAATTGAATTATGCAGCATAGAAAAATGCTTCCTGTTGTTTGTCTTGTAATTCCTTCTTGGACATGTCATTCCATACTTCCTAGTGCTCATGTTATGATTGTTTCCCTCCATGTATCCTGGGGACATGAGGTTTAGAACTGAGCCTGTGTTTCTTTCAAATGATAAAAAATAGTACATAAGCATTATTAAATTATTTCAATTACATAAAATTATCTGTAACTATTGAAGCATATTTAAAACCCTGTGCTTATAGTGAAGGTACGGGTAAAACCTATATCCTGCCACAAAAGTATAAAGTGAATTTTATAATGCAACAAAGAAGCACAAATCTTAAGCTCTAGTTGTGTGCTTGCATGGTAATTAAATGTTTGGCAAATGTCACTGTCTCTTATCAATTCTTTCTTCTGAGGAATGTTTTGCTCATTAATTGACAATATCCTAACAGTGAGCTGCAATGAAATGAAAAACTTAGCCAACCAAGACATTTAGTTATGTACATTGAAGCACAGAGCTATGTGAACAGGAAAGAAGTAGAAGACACAATATAGCTTATTCTCTATACAGAATTGGTGGAGAGTCTCTTATTTCCTGTGGTGGTATACCTGAGGCTGTTAGTCTCACCCCAACAATAACAGAAAAGGTAGTGAAGTATCTTCTCTATCCTAATGCTATTGCTAAAGTAAGGGAATATTTCCCTTACTAAGGGAAAAGCTGTTTCCTCCCATATGTTCTCCATTGAATCTGAAGATAGTGTGGCACATCAGCCATTTTAAAGGTAAAGGTTGTTTTTTCTTTTGGATTTGATTTTCTTGTGTGCTTTCCCAAGTTATGTTCCTGATGAAACAGACTTCCTGATTCTTTTACACTGGTTTATTTTTCCTTAATATTTTGATTTTTATTTTATCCTCTTTCCCATTTGAAAGAAAAACACACAGGTAAAGACCTGAAAATTATTATGGGCAATAAACACACATCTTTGTTAAGAATGCAGCAAGCCAGACCTTTGTAGCCTCCAGGGAGGTGAAAAGCCAATGGTCTTTAGAGAAGTTAAGTTTCAGCAAACACACAGATCAGTGATGAATCTGGATATTGTGTGTGTGCTGCTAAGTTAAAGAAGGAAGCCTACTTTCCTCCTCAGATTCCAGTGCTGCCATGCCATGGAAGAGACACAGTTTCCTTCTTTTACCAGCTGGGGGTATGTGAGAGTTGTCTTAGTCCCACATACACCTACTTTCTGAGTCCCATTGTACCTGAACAGGAAGCCTGTTAAAATAATATGCAGCACACCATTAGCTCTTGAGGCCTGACCTGGTTGATTTATGTAGTTGCTATTTTCTGTTTCATTTTTGGGCTTGTCTATTAATAGCAGAGTCAGGCTGGTGAGTGTTTCTATATGTTCCTTAGCTCTTGTTCTTCTTCACCAACAGACTTTTGCCATGGCTGAGGAGTATCACCGAGAATCAATGCTGGTTGAATGGGAACAGGTGAAACAAAGGATTCTTCATTCTCTGCTTGCATCAGGGGAAGATGCTCTTGATTTCACCCAGGAAAATGAGGTAACTCTGTCTTTCTGAATGCTGTGCACAGTCACGCACAGCGCTGTACACAGCTGGCATTCCAGCACTGCTGAAACCACCTCTGAAATACTCTGCAACTGTAACTGTGTGAAAATGAGAAATATAAAATCCCTATTTAATTCTAGAAGGGCTCTGACTAGCAGAATGTGTTGTCTAGCAGAATTCCAAACCTTTGTGATTGTTTCTGTTTATTGTCTGATGGGTACAGGCAATGGAGCTGCTGTTGCTGAAGCTGTGTTTTGAGCAACATATGTGCTGGCTGGAAACTTAGTCACAAACACATTCTAGGTCAATATACCCAGGGGACAGCAAACACACTGGGACTTCAGGAAACCCTTATGATGTGACACCAGGGAATTTCTCAGGTGCAATTGTGCTTACACAAAGGTCATAGAGTGTCTCTTCCCTTTATCACTGTGTGCTAGCCTGGATTTATGGCTTCTTAGGAGGCTGATTAAGTCTCTCAGGTCTCTTGGCAAAACCAAATGAATAAACAACAAAAAAAAAGCTTTCATTTTTATCTTGTTGTCTCATGCAGACCAAATTAAAATTTTGACCTCTAGTGTTCAGGTTAATCCAGCAGTGACCAAATCCTGTGGGCAAGACTGACTCCATCTTTAACAGAAGAGATATTGACTATCATTTAAAACCTTCCTCATCTTCTGTCACAAGTTAAACCTTTACAGTTTATTCTCTTAAATAAAATGTTTCAGTTAAACGAGTAGAGCAAAGCAGAGTTACCTGCAGGGTGTTGGGAACCCAGCTCCTCTGAGCTGAAAGTATCAGACAGCAGCTGTGATCCCTGGAGCACAAAGTTACATCACTGCTGCTGCACTGTGCTCCATGAAAATGCTCACCTTGAGGGGAGAGACGATAAGGAGTGGAGGAATGCAAGTTGTTGTGCTTTCAGGCTGAAAAAGAGACACATTTTTATAGCCATGTTTTCTACCAATGGAAATTAATTCTTGTTCATTGGGATGACCTGCAAGTATACTGAAATTAAAAAAACCCTTGGTGCTAATGTGGTATGACCTGTATAGGGATTTGGAAATAATTAAAATTGTTAATGAAATGTCCCTTTCTGATTGCTGTTCTTTTAAATTTAGGTTAATCCCAGTTAGCATACCTCTTTTTTTAGAGGCTGTCTTCCCCAGAAAATACTTTACTGAAACTTTACTGGGACTTCTCAAAGGTTGTCCAGCTTTCCAATATTAGAAATGCTAAATAATGCAGACTGAATTAATTTAAAACTAGGAACAGCCATCCCATTATTTTAGGCTGTGAATCTGAAGGCTTGGCAGTTACTGATAGCTTCTAACATCTTTGATTTGTGTGCTAGTTACTGGTATGGGGTTTTCTTTTTGGAGTGTGGATGTTAACTGCTAGCAGAAGTACTTTAATAACCCACTCTGAGCAGGTAAAACCCCTATTCTGGTGCTTCATTGTCAAATGGATGCTACCCCCAGTCCATGGCACTTGAGATGCCAAGCATCAAATTGGTGTGAGGGAGGAGGGGAGAAAACTCAGCTCCTAATGTTTCTGGTGAATGTGTTTAAAGACTCAATGCACACTATCACTCAGTAATACTCCACTCTCTGTTTCAAAGCTTTCATAGTAGCAGTATGTCATTTCAAGAGCATTTAAAATCCTTGATATATTCTAGTCTTAGCCTCGAGAAGTCAAAGGTCTGAGAGGTTTGAAGTGCATCTACTGTGTTAAAAGCCTGTTATCTAACCTCCCCACAGCAGGTTGTTCTTCTGAAGCCTTGTTCCAGTCAAATAAGTTTTTTGTGTGTATGTGAAACAAACAGACACAGCCTCTAGAATATAGTAGAGGTTTAATTGATATCCTCTGGAGATGGAGAATCAGCTGAAAAGGCACAGATCCAAACGCAGCAGGGGGCCAGTCTGCCTTCGAGCCAATTCTCAAGCTTTGGGCAAGCTAATTTGGGCAGAGTGAAATACCAACACGTTATTCATGGAAATAAGACCAATTAACAAGCAAAGCTTACGATTCAAAGAACCTAGTGCAGGACTTGCTGTTAAGGTTTTCTGTTCCCCCTGATCTTCCAGCCTGGCACCTTGTTGTCAGGGAAAACCAGAGCTGATAAAAAGGTGCTTCTTGTGGGGCTGGAAGGGGATGAAAGCCTGAGTTTTGTCTTCAAGGTGTCAAACACCTATGGTCTGAAGGTGTTTGTTGTGACTGTTGTGCCATGAGGTGCCAAGGCGTTTCCTTTTTCCTTCTCCAAGTTTTTCCTTATTCCAGGTTTTTCTTTCTTCCACCCTTGCTGTAAGCTCTTCCACTGCTGCTGTCAAGCAGCACACTCCTGCAGTGATAGAGAGGCACTGGCACCTTTTGGTTTCTCTTCTGCCCCTTTGTAGCACATCTTCATATCCCTTAAATCCCAAGCACTGCAAGATGCTTTCCACTCCACCACAGTGTATTTTGATGGGGTTTCTCCAGCTTGGTCTCCTGCCTAGATATTCACTGCATCTACTGGCCAAGCCATTTGGAGTGCTGACAAAATGTCTGCCCAGACTTCTGCTGAGGAATGTGCATATGCATATGAGGGTGATGAATAATGCATCTTTACATGCACGGGGTTTGGTGTGCAAGTGAGGCTGAATGCTTGGCTGAGTGCAAATGAAGGAGGGCTCCTTTGAAAAGCAGCATCTTTGGCTAAGTGAATTTAAAAGATAAAAATGTGATGGCAGTGCAGCTAAGCTGCAGCTTCGAGAAATGGATAATATTCAGAATAAATATTACAGTTCTGAATAATGTTTTGGAAAGACCAAAATTCAGGGCAGGGAAAAGCAAAGGTGTTTGAGAAAAACAGCAGAAGCCATTTAAGCAATATCAGACTAGAGATACAGCAAGATTTGTGTGTGTGCACTTACATTTCTGCAGTCCTTTGTGCATTCCCCACTTTTCTGCTTTTCCTTTTGCTGCTCCAGTTAAACTTCAGAACCTGACCTGTTTTGAACACATCATTCATTATCTTTTTGTTGCTTGAAACTTGGTAAGTTCTGCCAACAAAGAATATCCTCCCCCCTCTTCATTTTCCCCCTGTTAGTTTGTAGGGGGGAAAATCCTTCCCTTCTTGGGAATGATTGCCTGCACAGTCCATTTCTGCAATTCAGGGGAAGCCCTGGAAGTGACCTTCTCCATGCTGACTCACTGCTTTAGTTTTCCTTTTGAACTTTCCCTTTAGCACAGCCATGTGATAGTTCAGTGAGCCAGTGCTTTCTTGTAGTTTAATAATTCAAAGGTGAAGCCGGAATGCACGCATGAGATGGGAAAAAATAGGAAATAAGCTTACTTCCATGGCTCTTTTTCCATAGGAAAGAAACGTGTAAGAAAATTAGGACAAATTCTAGACTTCTTGATTTTTTTTCCCCCCTGAAGTCCATGGCTCTTTTTTCCATAGGAAAGAAACGTGTAAGAAAATTAGGACAAATTCTAGACTTCTTGATTTTTTTTTTTCCCCCTGCAATGCTAAGTCAGTAGAATTTAAAGAATGTCATTTCAGTGTGGCACTTCTCAGCTGCAGCAGATAGTTAAGAAGTGTTTCCTAAAGCATAATGGTTAAACTAAAATTGGAGAAAGGAAAGGAAAACCCAACCCCAGAGCAGCTATTTCTTAGTTTCAGGCGTGCACTTTTGGATGCAGATTGTTACCTGAATTGGTTTGAGCCCAGCAGTCACACACCAGTCTCTGGAGTGGCAGCCACGTGGGTGCTCTTTGGTGCCACAAAGCAGAAAAAGGAACAGACTCACAAACAAAGCCCTAGTCCCTGTGTGTCTGCTGCTTGGGCACTGGCTGAAAGTGACACTAAGTCACTATGTACTGGTCTTCACTTGCTTTAGGAGATGAAACCTCATCGGTAATTAATGACAACGTCCATAATTTAGCATTACTTTAAATAACTCTGCATTTTATCTGGCTCGGCACAGGGAGAGGCTGCAAAGCGCTGTTTCTGCCATGGTGTCTGTTTCCCAGGAAACCTGCTTTAACAGTTTCTTTGTTCTTTAGAACAAAGAATTTGTCGGGTTTTAGGTGGGTTTAAAGGAATTTGTGTCAGATGATTTGGCAATGAAAGAAAAATGCAGATGCTTCTGAATATCAGTACCCACTAAGAGGGGCTGTGAAGAATATTTTTAGTGTAAGTTCAGTTGCAGAAAGAAAAGTGAAATTGCTTCTGGGTTTTTTGTAAGGCATTTTTATAGAGCCTGAGGTCTAAATGCACCTGCATGATTTTGTAATCAGGTTAAATATTATTTAAATAGCATTATTAGTGAGAAATTAATGCAGTAATGAACTAATTTCAGCCATTTTAAAGGATTGTCCAGGTTCATCCTTGGTACCTTCACTCATTTATATTTCATTATATTAGGGACAAACACTGCTGAATTTTTTTAATTCTGTAATCAACTGTTGTATGCTGTGCAGAAACCTGTAACTACAGATATCACTAAGCTCTTATAATTTCTTGATAGAGGTCAGTGCCCTTATCTTCATATATAAATTCCTTGCCAATGCAGAAGAGTTTCTTGGCCATTCCAATTGTGTAACTTCTTCTGTTTTTAAATTTTAACTTGTGAAGACTTTACTGATCAAAACTCTTGGACTGGGACAGTGAGTAGTAGTTGTCTTTGTAAGGACACATGCTCATGAGTGTAAGAGGGGTCTTACATGGTAGAAGATATTCCAGGTTAAACCAATACCAAAGTAAAATTAATTTGGGAATAACTGAGAGAATGTTCCATGCAAAACTGATCAGTAAGATGTCTGGAAGTTCATTTGTTTGTGTTATTGCATTTTGAAGTTGGGATACAGTTCCCAAAAACAGCGACATTCTTTTGAAGACTCTGCCAGTATTTCATCCTCATTTGAAACAAGAAACTGAATGATGGCACCATCTGGAGAAAAGCTGTCCATTTCTGGATCTCTTCCTGAAATCCACACGAGCCAGGTCATGGCAGGAACATTGCTCCTGCCATGCTGCAGTTTGACAGGTGTCAGCAAAGCTGAACTCTAAAGCTGGTTAAACTGGAAGTGAAAACAGTGATTTTCCTATTGCATTTGGGCTTCATGTTGTTTGTACACGCAGCAAGTTGGTCACATTTGAGTGAACTCTTCCAGGCAAGACTAGAGCACATTCTCAAGCAATCCTTGGAGGTGATCCTGTCTGCACTGTAAAGTACTGACATTCTGGGTAACCAGTGTAAGAAGCAGTAAAGCTGTTTGAGCATATTGCTTAGGTGCCCTGTAACAGCTAATGAGGATGTGCAGCCAGTTGTAACTGACTTTGATGGTAAAAAGCTTAATTTTTAAACTCTGCAGATGTACCTGCCCTTTCTCGGAAAAAATTACTGATTCCAGTTTAGATGAATATCCATGGCCTTGAGTTATATGGTAACAAGCTTGAAAACCTTGCTTTGCTAAAAGCTTGTCTGTTCCTTTTTGCTTGCCCCAACTATGTCAGCTGGCTTCATAATAAATATTGTGCTTCTGAACTGAGCTTGTCTTGCTTTGATCTTCAGACCAGCACGCCTTCTGAAGCAACTGATATTAAAGGACTGTTTACCTCAAAGGGATCTGTCTTTAAAATGACTGTACTTTATTTTTCAAACTCAAGACTTGCAATGCTGATGCTGAAATAAAGAATTACATTCTTTTAGAAAACAAGAAATAGCAGATAGCATTGCTCAGAGTATTATTTCCTTCAGAGTACTGAACATATATGTTCAGTGGTGGCTGTACTGAGAACATACCTGTGCCATGGAGTAAGTACTAAAAATTATGCAGCATTATACCTATTGTGGCATGTTGTATTACGAGTTTTATAAGAGTATGAATTTTGTATGCCATGATTCCATTGGCTGTCTCTCCCTGCTCTACGCTCAAAATATCTCAATCTTGGCATAGTCTCTGTGGTAAAAAGACTATTTTTTTCAGGTCAGGATATTGCCAACATACTTCCTCTTGCAGCAGAACAGCAGTGGGGCACTTTCCAGCACAATTGAGTGCTGCAGTCCTATTTTATGTCCATATCATGGTACTGGGACAAAACTGGAGTATCAGATCTACCAGATTGGATCTATTTGAGCTCATCTGCTGGATTCTATATCCTTGCTGTGATGGAGGTTCAGAGTAGATGCCTCACAGCGAGACATTGACAAGAAGCAACCTTTCAAGAAACAAAAGCAAAGACTTAAAATTATAAGGTGCTACCAAGAGACACTGATGTCCTAATTCTAGAGAGCTAATGGTTGGTTTGTGCACTGAATAAGGAGGATTTCTGTCACTCTAGAAGGTTTAAGCTATATTGGGAAGATAATGGGGTATTGCAGTAAGACTGCATTTTTCTCTGTAGATGGTTCAAACCCCTGTTCTTAGTTCTGTCAGGAACATGGTTTTGCTGTTCTTTAGGAGCAGATGTATTGGTAAAATGCATTGTGGTAATTCTCTTCCTATGTGCTTCTCACTGAACAGCCCAGCTACGTGGGGGAGGTGGGTCCTCCAGGCCGCAGCTCCATGGACAGTGTGGAGATGGCATATGCTCGTCAGGTGAGTGGCAGTGGAAAAACTTCATTAAACACTGTGTTCTGCATGCAGAGGGACGGGGAAAATAAAGATTGGAGCTTAGTGTAAAAGAAAATATGGTAGGTAAAACATGAAAATATCTGCCGAGAGATAAAGTGCTATTGACAAACACATAAATCTTGATGTTTTTAGAAGCATACTCACCTGTTTGCTACAAGATGTTTTTTGTCAAAAAGAGATCCTGAGCACCATATATGAGTGTAGAAAGCATTTATGCTTGTAAAGTAAACTGAAATTCTTTTTAAGTTTTCGAAAGCAAGTTTTTTTAGGATTTGTGTCAGTGCATAATTGTTTACAAATGAAGGCTTTATATTCCCTTTATTTTCATATGTGGAAGATCATTTTTCTCATGTATGTGTGTAGGAAAAAATATGCTTAAGTGTTAATCCTCATGTTTGTGGAATTACATCCTATTTTAATGACATTGCTTATGAGAAGCTTTAGTGCATCAGCTATGAATTAATATGCCTGGTAGCATTAGACTCCCTCGGAAAATTTTCTGGGGAAACTGATAAACCTTTACATAACCAATTTGTTACTGTTGTTATTTGAGATTATCTGTTTACCAGCACTGTTGAGGACAAAATGAAAGAAAAGGACTTGATTTTTCAAAATGGAATATGTGAAACGATGTTGCTTAATTTGCACACAATTACTGTTATTGTGTGCTTTGGCTCAGTCTGCACTGAGGCAGAGAGCAGCTTGTGCATCTGTTTTCCTACATCTGCATTCAGTTATGGTAACTGAGAAGAAACTAATAGCAAAAGGTTCATGGTTGTGCTGATAAAGTGTACATTTGATTTAGTGGCTCTTAATAGTTTGTTAATTTAGTTCATATCTCCTGTAATATACCCACAGTAAATTTCTTCTTTAAAGCATAACTGTCTGTCTTTGAAGCCATCAGTGTTGCTCCGTGCTGCTTTTTGAGAATGGGAAGCCCAGTCTCTCTAGCAGTGCTGGCTCTGGGGCAGCTGTGGAGTCACTGTGGCCAGTGGGCCTTGTCAGGGTCACGGGCTGTGCACAGGCAGCTGCAGTGTGCCCTGGAAATGTGGTGTTTGTGGCCAGCCTTCTGCTGCCAAAACACTCGGTGCAGTCACTGTGTGCTCCCAGCAAGGGCTCCAGAGGAGCTGGCCTGGCTGAGCTGTCCCCGTGTCATCCTGCTGCAGTGCAAGAATAACCCAGGTCAGCAGTCTGGGTGTGGGCTCCTGTGGCTTCAGTGGGGAGCTGGGGGACCTGGAGGTCAGGCAGGAGAGCTGGAGATCCGTGCTGCTTCTATTTGTCAGCAGCCGTGAAATGTGTTTTAATTACAGGGAAGTGATTAATTGTTCTTTGTGGATAGTTCAAACTGTCTCACAGGAACACGGTGACATCCACAGACATGATTTCACTGATGCTGCATTCTGTTTGCAGTCCTGAGCTCTACATCTTGTCTGCACCCTGGGCATGTTGTAGTAGTGCTGAATGCCAAATGGAGTTAAAGTACAATGGCATTGCCTTTCTAGTATTGAGAATTATTATTTTTGAACATAGTGGAAGGTCGTTGGACTGAATAGAATAAACAAGAGTAGACAAAGCTCAGTTAAGATCAAGAGTTAAAATAGGGTGGTGTGTGTATACATTAAAGGGCAGGCTCTGAAGAGTCAGATTTCTGTTCATTTTCCTGACTCAGATTTCCCTGAATACTGCCACAAACCAGCAAAATCCTGTTTCTTTCACATCAGCAGGTAGGAGGCTGCTGTGCAGGGGAGTATCACAGCCATCCACTTGTCAGGTCACTTTGGAATCTTTTGTCCTTCAGCAATTAGCTGCAGTTAGTCTAACAGGGCATTCAGCTCAGTGCTCTGCCATGCAAAACCCCTGAACAGCTGGGCTGCTGCTGGCCTTGGGCAGGCCTGGGGCTCTGGGGTGGTGTGCAAGCTCGGGTGATGCTGATGCCCATTCCTCTGCCATGGGGTTGGAAGTGGCTGATGTGGGAGAGAAGCAGGGACTTGCTGGGAACACTGGTTTTGAAGCCTGATTTAGATTTTGCTGCTGTGACTGAGATTTTGCTGTAACAATAATATATATTGTTAAACGTGTTTATTTTAATTATGTTTTAGATTTATATTTATAATGAGAAGATAGTGAATGGACACCTGCAACCTAACCTGGTGGACCTCTGTGCTGCTACTGCAGGCCTGGATGATAAGGTACTGTCAGTAAGTTAACATAAGGAAATGTATTTAAGCTGTTTTCAGGCTGTGATTAACAGCCTGCTGATATCAGGGATAAAAGTACTGATATTGCAAAAAAAAAAAATTGCATGGCTCCACAGAAAACACAAAGACAATTCTGGAATTTTCTCCAGTACAGCAGGACCAACCTGTGATGAAGTTGATCATGGTGAAAATGTCTTAACACAGTGAGGAAGAAGTGAACCTGGTGTCCCATCATAGCTGATAAGCTGTTGAGGGGAAAATTGCTTTTTATTTTAAATAGATTCTGTTATGTTTGGTTAACAAAATGTGGTCTCTTATGTCCTTTGAAGGTATTTAGTTGGGGGTAAAGGGTCTTCAGTCAGACTCTGCTAGAGCTGAAATAGGCTCTCATAGCAAAGCATAAAACCCATAGAATTGACTTTAAATCAATTATCTGCTTGCTTTCCTTTCTTTCTCTTCTTTAATTGTGTTGCCTTGATCCACCCTAAAAAAGAAAACAAATGCACAAACCTTGGAGAAATGCCTGGAGGAGAGCACTGCAGCAGGGTCAAGCTATGAAAAAACTGCAAATGGGGAGAGCAAAAAGCTGCTGAGAAGCTGAGGGGCAAAACCTTCAATTGGATCTGAATTACAGATGTGCATCTTCACTCTGAACAGCTCTGCTTGTTTTGTAAGGGACAGCACAGGGAGTTTCAGTGTTCTTGCTGCTTTGAAGCACCAAGATCAAAGAGCTGCCCTTGCCCAAGTGAACAGTGCTGTTAGTTCTCAGTATTTTGCCATTTCAGCAGGGATGCCCTACTCCTGTAAACAGTGATAGGATCTTGTCCTTGTGAATAAGCAGATCTGGATGGTTTTCAGTCTTTATTTGTAACCGAGCCTTTGTCCAAGTGATCAGTGTCCTTTTAATGCTTCTTATCACAGCTGATCACACAGCTTTCCAACAGCAGCCAGAGCCATTGCTTACATGGAAAGCTGATGGTGCTGTGGTATATATTGAGTGGGAAGTGTGAGCTAGAAATGAGCAAGAGACTGAGTACCAAGTACACAGCCTAGTTTTGGAAATAGTTGTCAATTTTGGGGAACAATTGCAGGTATATTTATAGCCATCTTCTTGCACAAGAATTATGCAAAAAAAGCCTGTGAAACTTGAAATGTGTGGGACAGAAGCAGCTTACCCTTCATGACTGTGTCCAGTATCTCCATTACAAATCTAAATTGACATGAATTACTCTTGTGTTCTTATGCTTTTCTTAAGCATCAAAACACGATGTAGCTCAGAACAGTGTTGTTTGTTCATCTCTGTACTAATTGCTGAGGCATGGAATGACTTTTTACAGAACATCTCTGAGATGTGGGCCATGGTGAAACAAATGACAGACGTCACCCTGGTGCCTGCCAGCGATGCCCTGAAAGTCAGGACCAACATGGAAGTGCGCATGGAGTTCGTGAGGCACGCTCTGCACTACCTGGAGGAAAGGTGGGATGGATGCTCTGAGTACACACTGATAGAGCTCCCTACTAACAAGCCAGAATGACTTTGTAGTGCACTTAGAGTCAGCTACCTTGTGCTGCTCACAGACATGTCTTTTTTATTGTGCCAAGCTTAGAGCAGCCACTTAAATAAAAAACTGTTCTAGTTTTACAGTGTTCTAGTTTAAAAGGCCTTGAATCCGTGGGGAGGTTGTTTAGAAGATGCAAAGACTTTTATTCTTTCTTCTATGTTGCTTATAAATATTCTATATGTGTGGTGGTATGTGAAGGTCTTTCACTTGAGGAAAGTGATCTGTTTCTCTTCTGCAAAAGAACATCCTCTTTTCTGTATGCTCCCTTTCTGATTGCTGGTTGCTGTCAGCAGCCCATGAGGACAGCATGGGCACAACCTGGTGCAGTGAGTCAAGTTCTGATCATGCCATTCCTACACTGAAAAGTTTTTGGAAAATGTGAAGAAGCTGAAGTTGAGACATGTAGCAGTGATTTTCAGACTGTAGAGTGGTTTGCTGTGTGTGTTAGCAAGTACCATGGGGGCCCAAGCTCCTTGACCAGTAGAGTTCTGACAGAACTGCAGGGTGTGAAGCTGCCCAAAGCCAAATGCCCATTCACTGCACATGTGGATGGACATTGCAGTGTCTCTTTTCTAGTATCTGCAATGTGATGCCAGCAGGCTCTTCCAGCCTTGCAAGCAGTAACTGCAGGGTGGTACGTGGGCATTTGTTAGGGACACAGATTGCATCAGAGCATGGAAAGCACTGTGCTCTGACACAGCACTGTGGGAAGAGATGCTTTCACCTCCTGGCACAGCCTCTTCTGGCCCTGGCAGTTGGTTGTCACACCCCATCAGCACTCAGTGTCACCCAGGAGTGGTGGCAGCTGCTGCCTGTGCACAGAGGAGCTGACACATCAGAAGGATCTTCTGTTCCCAGTTCCTCAGTCTCAGCAGAGTGCAATGAGCCAGTGACTCTTAACCTGATTTACCACATATCCAACTGGCTAAATGTTCACAGTGCCATTAACTGCTAGCTGAAGTTAGGAGTTAGTTATATGTAGTACTTTCCCAATGCTCCCAACTGTGGAGATTAGGCCTCTCTAAATTCCTTTTTTCTCTGGGATTTTCTTCTGGTTAGTCCATAGCCCTAATGCTGACATTTTTCCATAGGGCAGGGAGGAGAGACAAACACATCTGTGGTATTTAACTGTTCTTTCATGGTAGAATTGAGAGTTGAAGTATTAGAGTGGAAAAGTTTTTTGCCAGTTAAAATATTTGAGTTTAACTTTGTACTACAAGAATCTAATAAGAGGAACTTCAGAATTGAAAGTTGAACCTGGAACAGTTCACTGCAGACTCCAAACCTGGTGTCTTCTGAGACTGCTAAATACAAGGATCTTCCTGAACTGACCAAGATTTGTGCTTCATTTTGTTGTAATAATAATGTTTGAACATCATCGAGTAACTTTGCTTTGAATTGTGAGTTCTGTCAGATCTGAAAGGCAGTGGATGTTTTTGTGGCAGGTGTATCTCAGTCTGTTCATGTTTGTTTTGCTTGTGTTGTGTTTCAGTTACAAAAATTACACTTTTGTGACAGTCTTTGGAAACCTGCACCAGGCTCAGCTGGGTGGAGTCCCAGGCACCTACCAGCTGGTCCGCAGCTTCCTGAACATCAAACTCCCAGCATCAGTCCCTGGTCTGCAGGTATGGGCAGCACTGTCAGCCTCTGAGCCAAAATAACACAAACCTGTTCACCCAGTGCGGAGGGGGAACCAGGGCAGCCTCCAGTGGCTTTTCTGTTGTTTAAGCTGCTTTTGGGCAGCAGGCTCTTACTCCTCTAGAATTTTTCACTAGGAAAATGGAAGGTGGCAGACAAATTACTGTCAAGTTCAGACCTAGTCCCAAAGCATGGTGGATGCTCAGTGGCTTGAGTTCTAATTCTAGAAATTATTGTGTCTTCTGGTCATCATCTTAGAAATCAACAAGCAAGAATTAAAATTCATTATGATGGCTCAAAAAAGCAGTAACTTAATCTGCCTATTTTGCTTTTTCTCTTTTTTTACATTTATTGTAAGATGGTAAAACCATCACCAAATGTGTAATGAATTCATCTGAATTGTAGCCTGGGTCTTCTATTTAGGAATCTGAATAAAACCTTTTTTACCTGCATGTAGTAAAAAGTGCATAGCTGTGCATCTGCAAAATAATCAGATAGGCACTCCGGGTTGAAAAATCAGATATAAAAGCTAAATTAAAAAATAATAAATTATAACATTGGAGCACACAGAGCTAAGTCTAGCTGTCTGTTCTTGCCTGCTGAGGTCAGTGATTAGTTTGATATCCTTCTGTTTCAGTGAAAATGTTTTTAATACCTCGGTGGCCTAATCCAGATCAATCTCCTGTGTGGGGAGGATATCATATGCTAATTCTGGGATTCTCAGAACCTCCCTCAGAATTGAAATCTGGGCAATCAGAAGAGAATCACACCTTTCACTGCTGATATGTGCAGAGCTTTGCCAGGATTTAACCCTTATGACCTCTGACTTCTATAACAGAATTTTTAATCAATATGAGTGTGGGTATAAGGGCAAAAATAATGAATGAAGCAAAGAATAAATAAAAATCATTCCAATATGTTGCTTTTAAGAAACAATTAAGTGTGTCCTACTTCCTTTTCAGGATGGTGAGGTGGAGGGCCATCCTGTGTGGGCGCTGATTTACTACTGCATGCGCTGCGGAGATCTGACTGCAGCCATGCACGTGGTGAAACGGGCACAGCACCAGCTGGGGGAGTTCAAAACATGGTTCCAGGAGTACATGCACAGTAAAGACAGAAGGTAATTGGGAACTAGGAGGGATCCTTCTGAGGGGTGGGAGTTGCTGTGGAGTAGTGAAATTATCAGTAGTTTGGTAGAAATACAAAAAGCTCAGGTCTCTTTTGGTGGTGGTGGTTGCCTGAGGTTTATATTACCTACCTAAATTACATGCAGAAGTTTGCATATTTTAATTTGTGGCTTTGAAGCTGAGAAATCTCAACAGAGAAAGAGTTGTTTGAAAATATTCAGAAATTTACATTTCAAAAATAATAGAGTGTGGTGTAGCTTTACTTTTTACAGAAGGATAAGCCCAGTGTAACAGTGGGATATAGCATACGATAGATCAGATTTAATCTGCTGTCATGATTCCTGTATCTTTTATTTCCCCTGTTGCTTATTTTAGCTGAATTTGCTTTGGGGAACACTTTTTACTACACCTGTTTTCATAAGAACGCCACACAGGAAAAACAAGCAGAGTTTGTTAGAGGCCTTTAGAGGCCTCACTCTCACATCTTTCTTGTGTTTATTCTCCTCTTCCAGTTTTTGCTGTCCAGCACTGGACAGAGGCCACTGACCAAACTGCTGCTGATGTGGTTGCAAAGTGGTTGTTAAGTTAGTGCACCCTAAGGTGTGCTCTGAACTCCACAGTGGTTTTCTTTTTCATCTTTACACTTGCAATGAATTACAAAAAACTCAAAAAACCAACAAACAGACCAATAAAAACTAACTAACCAAGCTAACAAAATAAACTGAACGGATAAAAATCTAAGTGCCATATCCCAAGTATGGTATGCCATGGTATTCTTCTATAAATCAATCTGTTTTGTAGAGAGTATCTAGGAGTGCTCATTATATCAAGGTTGTTACAGAAACCTTGTTGAAGATATTGTCACTGTTTTCATTGTAAACACTTTTATGAGATACAACATAATAGATTTATTTTGTTTTTAATACAGCTTTGAAAAAGTGCTCTGCCTACAGATTTGACAAATAATGCCTTAGTCTAGAACACTTTATTGATTACATTCTGTAAAATTCTCAACAAGAGGTTGCAAGAAAAAACAATGACAAAGAACATTATGGCAGTGTTTAATAATGATGAAAGTGTCTCTCCTGAAAGACCTCATGGTACAATGACCTACTCACTTGTTAGTTACTAACACAAAGGCTTACAAAGATGTTGTGAGCTCTCTTTTTCTGAAATGATGCAGTAGCAGAGTCAGACAAAAATAACTCATCTGCCATAGTATTATTGTACCCCAAAGAGACTGTCATATGTGGATTCTTTGCCTGCAGTGAGCATTTGAAGATGATCCTCCATAACTTTAATTATGTGTTTAAATACATGTGTGCAAAATTTTTACCTACAGATATGAACTGGAAATGCAAGAAATATTGGCCAGTGCTGACTGTCATTATGCCCTTGCTGTGGATATGCACCTATTTACATTGATTTGTGTCCAGGTTTCCTCATACAGGGAAAATGGTTTCATGTCTTTTCCTTCAATCTTTTCTTTTCCTTAGACTGTCTCCTGCCACAGAAAACAAACTGCGTCTTCATTACAGACGAGCTCTGAGGAATAACACTGACCCCTACAAAAGGGCTGTTTATTGTATTATTGGTCGTTGTGACATTACAGACAACCAGAGTGAAGTTGCTGATAAAACAGAAGATTATCTTTGGCTAAAAGTAAGTCTGGTGTTGGGGTTGTGGTGTTAGGTTTTTCTTTTTGTAAGAACAGGTCCAAATGGTACCACATTTCTCCACTGCTCTGCTACCCTTCCTAATTCTAGATCTGGTGTTTTGCATCAATGTAGTGCACATGACCTGACCTTGAAATAGTGCAGGGCTGGAAACCTGAATCCCAGGGCTGCCCTGTTACCCTCTGTGCTATCAGGTGTTAGTTTGGGTACAGTTGTCTTTGGAAATGTCATGTTCTTCATTTGACACTGATCTTTGTCTCCTGTTTTTACAAACAGTATTAGCTTGCTACAGTGAGGATTCTTTGAATTCTCCTTCCTGGGTGGATGTCTGAAATGTCAGTGTGAATTGACCAGAGACAATGCTGTCATTGTCTCTGAAGTCCTTACAGTTTTGGCAAGGGCATGATAGATACTGGTTGGTACCTGTTTCTCCTCTTTATCAGAAAAAGGATGATAGAATGATGTATTTGTTACTATTGTATTTGTGGCAAAAAAATGCTGCTTGAGAGTGTTCGGAGTCCCAGTGTCAGAGTTTGCTGGCCTGGATGGATACAGAACCCCAGGGTTATATCTGCATGGATTTCAGCTGTTGCTGCATTAGAGATCTTTGCTTCCCAGCAGTGGATGGAGCTGATGTTGTGATTAGATGCAGTTTCTAGTCAGTTGGTCAAATCCTAGGAGGGGCTCAGATGGAATGAATATCTTGTAAGTGCATTGCTTGTGCAAGGAGAAATATCTGTGCTTCTCTTTTTTGGATGTGCTTTTAGCTGAACCAAGTGTGTTTTGATGAGGGTGGTGCGAGCTCTCCGCAGGACCGGCTAACGTTATCCCAGTTCCAGAAGCAGCTGCTGGAGGACTATGGTGAGAAACCAGAGTGATATCTTACCTGGGGCTCTGCTTTTCTGCTGAGGACACTTTCCAGTTGTTATTACACAAACCCCAGACTGCACAAAAACCCTGCAGCTCTCCACTAGTGACGGGCGTCTTCTGCTTCCCTGGAGTCGTAGCAGATTTCAGTAAGACACGATGAATGAGTCCCATGACTTCCCAGCAATCCAGAAAAGAGTTAATATTCATCTGTGAGCAACACTGCTGCTGTTTCTCCTTTATCCATTAATTGTGGGTTGCTTCCTCTCACCATAAATAGGCAAAAGTCCTTTAGCAGAGCTTTCAGCTTTGGAAATACAGAACAGAAAAGCAGTCACTAGCTAATATAGGGATATATTTCCAAGCTTTTCCTCTTTATGCATCTGGTGTTTATATTTTCCCTTAAATTAGTATTTCAAGCAAATTTCAAGCAAATTTCAAGTTAAATTTCTGGGGACCCAAGTCACAGTTACTTCCATTTCAGAAGGTTTTAAGAACACCCACAGAATACATTTTCCTGTAATTGTCTTCCAGTCCATCAAAATTAAGTCACTTGGAACTGTCCAAAACATACCAAATTTGATTCTCCACAGCCTTCTAGTTCGTAGTATCACTCACACTCAGATAATGTGTGTGAGATAAAATGTGTGGAAAAGAAATATAATAAGCTGCTTTTGGTGTCACTGAGTAGGAAAATCCAGGTTCTTAACATTATTTGTACCACTTGGCATAAGTATAAAAGCAGACAAAAAGTTGTGGTCTTTAGAGAATCTGTCACAGTTGATCAGAGTTGATGGTTTGTTGTCTGAAAAGAAGGAACTTTTCTGAGTAACTGTTTATTCTGTTTCACTTTCTGAATATGTCTTTATGCTAAATATGTCTTCATGATAAATCTGCAGTGGCACAGTTGTAGGTGAGCCACTGATGTGTGGTTGGGAATTCAGTTTTGTGTACTGTGTTTATTTTGGCTGGCACCTAATAAACAGTAATGATGCACTGTGACAGGAAGCATCCACTGTCAGTCATCTCTGATTGCAAAATCATGAAAATGATGTGAAAATGCTATGTGTTGTGTTTTTTTTTCAGGTGAATCACATTTTGCAGTGAACCAGCCACCGTTCCTCTACTTCCAAGTGCTGTTCTTGACAGCCCAGTTTGAAGCCGCGATTGCTTTTCTTTTCCGGACAGAGCGCTTGCGCTGTCACGCTGTTCATGTTGCTTTGGTTCTGTTTGAGTTAAAATTGCTCCTGAAAGCATCTGGCCAAAGTGCACAGCTATGTAAGTCCTATTTGCTTTACAGTAAGGGAATATTTTCTTAGCCCTCAGAGTACCCTCTAGAAATGGCAGATCTATGTGATTAATCGAAGATTTATCAGAACAATTTCATAAAAGTTAATTGTTTTAGTTGCATTAGAGCTCTGGATCATGGTTCTGACTAATTTGAGATGAAGATCAGCATTTTCCTGGCATTAGATTCTCTGACAGTGCTGTTTCTGACATTGCAGTAAGCCATGAAGCTGGTGACCCTCCTGGTGTCAGACGTTTAAATTTTGTGCGGCTTTTGATGCTTTACACCCGTAAGTTTGAATCAACAGATCCAAGGGAAGCTCTGCAGTACTTTTATTTTCTCAGGTAGGAGCTAATCTATGTCTTCAGTTATTCTCCTAGTTATTACTGCTTCATTATTCTTATCTGGAGAGTTCTCAGAAACAGGAGTGCCTTTCTCCCTCTCTTTGTTTTATAGGAATGAGAAGGACAGCCAAGGAGAGAATATGTTCCTGCGCTGCGTTAGTGAAATCGTCATCGAAAGCAGAGAGGTGCGTTTGGCCATGCTTTGCCCCTTCCTCAGTTACACTGAAATTTCTCCTTTGAAATCTTTATTAGTCAGGACAGTCTTAGAGTTGCTTACTCTTTCTGCCTCATGCAGACCCAGATGAGAGAAGATCTTGCAATGGCCTTACCTTTAAGACATTTAATCGTATCTTTTTGCCTGTTATTTAGTTACAAATACTTTTTATATTGGTCACTGTTTTTCTTTCCTGTATCTTTTCTTGGTACTTAATAAATATGTTATGAAATATGTGCAATTCATCTCTCTGTTTTTGTTTCCTGTTTGTTCTTACTTTACATCTGTGTGGATATAGTTTGATATGATTCTTGGAAAGCTGGAAAAGGATGGTAGTAGGAAGGTGAGTTCACAATTTCTAATTTATATTAAAAGTACAACCTATGTATGGTTTCCATAGTAGTCATGGGGCTATTTTGCTTCTGTCTGTTTTTCACTAGGTAAATTATTACTGTTTGAATACATTCAAATTCTCCCAGTTTGAGATCCTTTTACAGAATAATCTGTGACCTGCCCTAACAAAAGGCAGGTCAGGAACTGCAGGACAGTTGTTGTTTTGCACTTTCTTTGGTGTGAAACCAACCATTTTAGGTTTAAAATAAATTCTTCTAGATTATATAGTCTCATTTTTGCATCCTCAACTACAGTAATTTCCAGATATTCTTAACTCTTTAATCTCTTTTATTCTACATGTTTATTATTTGTTTTAAAATTCTTGTTGCCCATTCATTTATCTGTGTGAGATTTCATTGGCAACCTGCCAGTCATGCCAGTATAAACAAGCTGCATCCCTGGAGCCCTTGGAATGCTATCTGCTGAAGTCTTTAGTGTTTTCTTCTGTGTCAGCAGCTCAAACTCTGAGTTATCTGGGTCATTTTAAATGAATTAAAAACCAAGGATGTCTCAGTGCTGACTCCATTTAGGAGAGAGTCCCTCTTGCAAGAGCTCATTCTATTTTTAATGTCTCACTTTTGCACATTCCCATGGAAATGTACAGGCTATTCCAATCATAAGCCAACATGTAAAATATTCACTGCATTGGCAGAATATTCTGGAGTGTTTGAGCCTTCTGATTCCTCTTTTCTCCTTTCATTTTTGTCTCACCTCTTTAGCCTGGAGTGATAGACAAGTTTACAAGTGACACAAAATCCATTATTAACAAAGTGGCTTCTGCAGCAGAAAATAAAGGATTGTTTGAAGAAGCTGCAAAACTCTATGACCTTGCAAAGGTATGTGTCTTGTGTGCTGCCTTAAATCTTGGTTCACCTTTTTTCCTTCCAAACATTCTACCTGTGATTAGGAGGTTAAATTTCATCTCAGAGGTTGAATTGCCCTTGTTCAAGCAACTTATTTCTGCTGCTGGAAGAACAGAGCTGCGTGAAGAGATGTTTTAGTTAGCACATCCAGATGGATTGCACTCCAGGGATTCTGATTTAGGACATTGTGGTCCTGATCAATGTGCACTTTTGAAGAGAGTATCCCACGCATGGTTTAATTTGGTCTACTGCAGTAATTTACCTGGAGTGTACTCTTCCAATTTCATAGATACTGAACTGAAGTCTAAAATAGTTGGTCTTGAGGTGGATACAACCATAACCGCTGTTTTAGAGAAAAACTAGGGGGAAATGCTTTTTCTTGTGACCCAGCAGCATTATGTTGCTTGTAGCTAATAAGAGCTTGACTCTTTAAGGGAAGGAAGTGGCTCTGGGCTTGCAGTAGGCACCACTGGATGAGACTTTTCTTTTTTTCAATGAGATTAAGACACCATGTTTCATCATGCTCCTTTTGTTTGTGTAACTTTAATGCCAACAGAACCCTGACAAAGTTTTAGAGCTGATGAACAAGCTCCTTAGTCCAGTTGTTCCCCAGATCAGCACTCCCCAGTCAAACAAGGAGCGTTTGAAGAACATGGCCCATTCCATTGCTGAGAGGTAAGACTCAGGTAAGGGCAGGACTGGGTGGTTGACCTCAGTGTGACCTGGGACTGTCAGAGCTGTGGGTGTTAGTTCCTGATGTTGTTTCTGCAGGCTGGACTGTGGCATCCACAGCAGCATATTTAGAAAGAAAAAGAAGGGGTCAGAATTTACCCTGTCCTGCTCATGATGGCTTGCAGTACTGAAACCAGAAATCTTCAGGGGCAGGTCAGATAAATTTGACAAGTTTTAGCTGCAGGTGAATCAGGATTTCCATCTGGAGATGGAGTCTGTTAAGCAGTAAATACGTGAATTGTATGTTTTATATTATTTTTAAAGCAAAATATTTTAACAGTTGCTGAGTTGTTGCATGCAATTCTCTCATTTGAAATAGTGTTAAGAGAGAGCTACAAGCCCAGTAATACTGAGTGGTAACAATCATTCAGTAGCTGTCTGAAAACTGTTACTTCAATGAAAGCTAAAAAGGGAGTATTTAAGATGAACTGTGGCAGTGGACCTCATTTCCACAGCCTGTTATATTAATTCCAAGTACTGTGTGGTGTCCAGAAAGAAAGGAAGCAACTGAAAGGAATGTCCCCTACCATGTCTGTATACTAAGTAGGGTATGTCCTTGAGAGAAATCAGTGCTCAGGATTCATTAGCAACTAGGAGTAACCTGATTCTGAAAAGCTGTAGTTGCAAAATATGTCCCTGATTTTTCAAAATCTTCGCCTTTTGGTTCATCTTGTCACGGTCACTGCCAGGGACAATTCCTGTATTTTACTAGAGCAAAATGTGGATTCCTATGAGAAATGCCTTACTGGTTTTTATCAACCATTGAGCTGCAGAGAGAATAAAATAAAAAAAAAAAACCAAGCCCACTTGCTGGCACTTTGAAATGGGGAAGACAAATACAGAAATATATTGATTTCCATCAGAGGCCTTTGCCTGTCTTCTTTTGACAAGTGGCATTTGCCAGTCACTCCTTCCAGGCAGCCTTTCCTTCATTTGGGCAGGCTGGGATTGAGTGAAAATTGGTGCTGTATTGACTTGGTGAGAGACTGATTTGGTGGCAGACATTAAAGGGAATTAAATCTATGGCTTGAGTTAAAGCTTCAGCAAAGGCTGTAATGGGCTCTTTTTGGTTTGCTCATGCTTTGATCTGTCTGAAAGCATTAAATACTGCTGTGCAATAATGCCACTTCACAGCTGCAAACCTGGGTGACTGCAAAGCCAGAGCAGTTCTGACTAGCACATCTTCTTGCCAGTTAGATGTAAGACAGGGCTTTTCCATGGTTCTGTCCTGATGACAGTGCTGTAGGATGCAGCATTCCTCCTGTGTGTTCTTGTGATGCTTTTGGAGCAAGGGAGACACCCCAAAAAAAGGCAAAACAGCTTCTTTGTGCCCTCATGCAGATAGGAGTGAGAGCAGGCAGCCCTCCAGTTCATCCCATGGCCAGTGTAGCTCCCGAGAGCGTGCAGGAACTCTTAATCCATCTTTTAAGTCTTAACTTCTTGCCTGAAGCAGGCAGTTGTGCTGGAGGATTGTCTGCTGTAAAACAGCGTGTTAAACATGCTGGTACAGAGCTCGCCTTGCGGGTCTCTGCTGCCTGGCACAGTTTCCCCATGAATGTGGGAAATGTAAACATTTTAAAGGAAACAAATGCTGGATTTGCTAAACTGGAAGTGATTAACAGTGTCTTTAAAAAGCCACAACCTGTGAAAATTCTGCCTCCCAGTTAAGGAAAATGAAAGCTGTCCTTTGTTAAATGCCCTCTGTCCTTGAGTTTGATGTCTCCACTTCCAAGAATTGCTAGGGCACAGTTATAAACGGTTGCCATTTTGCACAATAAAATTGTAACACAATTTCTTTCAGGTACAAAGCACAGGGCATAAGTGCGAAGAAATCCATTGACTCCACGTTCTACCTTCTGCTAGACTTAATCACCTTTTTTGATGAATATCACGCTGGTCACGTTGACAGGGCCTTTGATGTAAGTTTTAAGAGTTCTGTTTGAAGTGTAGCCTTCCTAATGCCCTTGAAAGCCCAGAATGTCTCCAATAACATCGCTTTAAAATTTTATTTAATGAGTTAGAAGGGACTACAATGTTACAGGAATTTTAAAAGGTGTTTCTTCCCTGTTGCTTGATAAACAGGATGATCTTCCTGGAGCTATTTTGTAGACATTGAACAAAACATTCCTGTTCCTCAACAAAGTGAGGAGATAAACCAGTAACTGACAATGAAATTATTTCTTTTGAATGGAAACAGAAGCATTTCATTAACACTTCAAAAACACACTTTATTAATAGATGGTACATAGAATGCTGATTATCTGTCCTGATTCCTGCTTTTCTTTTTGAAGATTATTGAACGCCTGAAGCTTGTACCTCTTAGCCAAGATTGCGTCAAGGAGAGAGTCGCTGCCTTCCGGAATTTCAGTGATGAAGTAAGTCATGTCTTGGCTTTAGCTTCTTAAAGCCTTTTGCTTTGTTAAAAGGATCTTAAAACCTTGTCATCTCATCATTCTTATTCTTTAGTGGAAAAAAAGGATGAGATTATTTTGATTTCATTCAAGAAAACTCTTGGCTTGCAACTTTTTCTTCTTAATGCTGCTCATTTGAGCACTAGAATTCCCTACCCAGAAATCCTGTCTCCACTTTGAAGAAGGTATCTGCAGATGTGAGTTTCCCTGAACTTACTGAGTTTCATTCAAGAATTCAGAATATTGAAAACTTTCAACTTGCTGCTAACTTAGTTCTTCCATGCTCTTAATGGTCACTAAGCATTTGTAGGGTGTTTGTTTCCTTCCTTCTAAATTACAGGAATTAATGGATTTGTCTATTAGCAAATGAAGCAAAGCAGTTACTGCTCTTAAGCTGTTTTAATGGGAGGGTGACACTTCTTTTTTAGGCAGTGGTTGTGTGTATTTGGCGTGCTTTGGGTTTTATCTAACCTGCTGCTATCAAACATGAAGGTGCAGCCATTGGGCAAGTCTGTCTCAAATCTCTGGGTGGTGTTTCTGCTGGATGGTGCAGTCACACATTACACCTCTGACTGTTACAGGAATCTGCATAGTAAGGCTCATGGTTCTGTCAACCTGCTTTTGCTGCAATGTGTCTTTTTTTTCTCCTTTTTTTGTGTAGATCAAACACAATTTATCTGAGGTTCTGCTTGCAACCATGAATATTTTATTCACCAAGTATAAGAGGATGAAAGGCACAAGCCCAACCACTCCTGCCAGACCCCAGCGGGTAATGGAAGACAGAGATTCGGTAAGAATATCATTCTCACTGGCATGTGTTCCTATATCCTGTTCTGCTGCTTTCAAGAGTTTGGGCTTCAGGTAACTGAGAATCTCTAATGGTCTTGGGTTTGGCTTGCTCAGTTACTTAGAGTCTTGATTTACTGAGCTTGTCCAGTTACTTAGTCTCAAGGCTGGTGTCTGATGCCTTCAGCTTTGTCTAAAGAAAGGTTGGAACTGGATGATCTTTGAGGTCCCTTTCAGCCTAAGCCATTCTTGAGTCTGTCTTATTGCTTTAAATAACATTGAGCTAATGGAAATTTTACATCTATATTGATCTCCTAGCAAGAGAAAACAGGTGTCCACTTTGCTTCTTAGTAGAATCTTAGATAGTAAAGCAAATGGCAGCTGTGCAGTGTCTCTAGGATGGTTGATGCTGCTGCCTTGACAACTGAGCTGTTGCTTTTTAAGCACATGAGTGCCACTTCTTTCATTTGAGTAAGTGCCCATTTCTGCTAGAAGGGCCTTCCTTGGCTCTTCCCCTCAGCTTGCTTCTGTAGTGATGCAGGCCAACATTTTCCAGGTGTTCTTGAGTGAAACACCAGGATGCTGGAGCACATCCCCTTGGTGAACACCAGCATTGTCCTGCTGCCCCTGCAGGGAGTGGGCAGCTTGCAGCACTCTGGCTGCTGTTGCAGCAGTGCTTGGTCTGGCTGCTGTTGAAATTCATGACCACAGTGGTTTGACTCCCCTGCTCAAGCTGGTGCAGAGGCATTTCCCCAAGCCACTGATGGGAGCCTCCACCTCCAGCAAGCTGCAGAATAGGCAGAATTTAAACAGCCAGATTTGTGAGCACTCACCTGCTAACATGTGGGGTTGAGCAGAAGGGTTCACGGCTTAATTCCAGCCAGCTTTGGTCTTGTAACTCTTTATAAGTTAAAGCTGCTGCAGGCGCTTGAAACCAAGGCCAAACCATTCATCCTGTCTTAACAGATTAGAAAATAAATATCAAATATCTCCTTTTGAGAGTGAAAAACCAATTTGGGCCATAGCCAGCTTTATTCCAGGCTTTAGTCAGCTACAGAAGTGCCTTTGATCTGTAAATTGTAATATTGGTAAAAGTCTTAGTAGCATTTTTAAATTGCATAGAAAAATAAAAGGCTTAGGTAATGGTACAGCTTTTGTCTTGGGGCACAGCCTGCAAGAACTACAGGATCCTGCCTCAGAAGAGTGCTTGTACTCTAGATCAGCAGCACTGGAGAAGGGTGCACGCTGCTTGGGCTTCTCCCACCTTAAACTCTGCATGTGTGAAGAAGTCCATGGCTGACACAATCTGTTGCTACCTGCTGTGTGTCTTCAGAAGGTTGGCACTGAGCAAAGAGTGCCTTAGCTCCTTGTTTTCCAAGTGAGCTGGTTGTTTTGATTTTGTGATTTCAAGTCTTATGCCTCATGTAGAAGGATTTACCATCTCCATAGGGGTGGAGTGCTGTCAGGTGTCAGCTCAGGATGAATACCATGGGCTGATTGGGGTGGGATTAGCAGCTTTGCTGGCAGAGGTTTGTGTGGAAGGAGGCCACCATGACACTGTGTCATATCCACAATGTGCTCAGTGTGACACCACTTCATAAACGTGCTCTGCACTCTCCTGCTATCACAGTTGTTGAGATGAACTGATGTTGTACCTTGCTAAAAACCCTTGAAAGTTTTCTTTATTTCAGGCTTCAAGTTTTGTTAATCAAGCTGCAGGCCTTGTGATGGGATCTCATGGCAGCAGGGTGTCAGTGATGCTGGGAGCACAGGGTTTCTGAGTCACAGATCTTGGATGCTGTGTGCAGTACAAGCTGTGCTTTGCCATCAGACATCACACAAGTGTCCACTGCCTCTGCTGTCAGGGAGGGGATAAGAGAGCAGCTGTGTGTCTGGAGTGTCACAGGGGAGCATAGATCTGCAAATGTAGGATTAGCAAGAGGAAAAACCTACCACTTGGTCTCCTGTCTGCCTAAAGATTTGCATGTGCAAAAATAATAGCAGGCATGGGCACATGGAAGGTAGGGTGAGAATGGTTTTACATGTGTTGCCCTTTTTTCCTACCCTGAAGAATTTCTTCCAAGACTGCAGGAGCAGGGAATTGAAATTGTTTCAGTTGGGAGGCAACTCAGGCAATTTTAGTGGTGTGAAGAAATGAGGGCATTACAGATGTGAGGAAAGAGGTGTTCCTTCAGCAAAATCTCATTCACCTGGACAGGGATGGCAGACATGAGCTTCAGCAGGCTGTGCATGGCAAGAATTTGTCTGCTGAACTTCCCTGGGAGAAGGGCAGTTTTTCTGTATTCTCTGGGGAAGCAAATTTGTGGGGAAATCAGACCCTTTCAGAAGCTTTAACAGTCTTGGCACATTGCCCAGTAGACAATGCAAGTGAAAAATTCCCTTTCTTTGAACAGGTCTTTGAAATTCTTGGCTTTTCTTTAGCTCCATCAGGACAGACAGATTCAGTTCCCTCTGTTCATCAGAAGAAAAGATAGCTGCTGTTTTAACTCTGAGGCTTATCTACATAGCAGGGAGCAGTGTCCCCCAGAGGGGAAATCAGAGCCTTGAATCTGCCCTCTGATGCCAACACTGCTCTGCCAACCACCCTGAGCAGGATGCTGCTGCCATGGGTGGCACTTCAGCAGGAGCAGCATGGACCTGGCAGCAGGGACAGGATGGAGGGGAGCAGTACTGCTGGAGCCCCCCTGAACCCAGCAATGCTCTCTGCAAAACATCTCCTGTCCCACTTGGAGGTGGACTAGAAAAGATCAGGTCTGGGGTCAGAGCTGGCATTTCTGCATTGTGTTTATTTCAGAATGAAATCACCCAAGCTGTGTTTTAGGTATTTTTTCTTTTATGTATATAATTAATTAGTTTTGGGAATAAGGGAACAAAGTCCTGTCCCACTTGGCCTGATCCATTTTGTCAGATTTCAGGCAGAGATTGCAGGGAGCCCAAGCTGCAGTCCTGGAAACCATGGCTGTGGTGACAGCCCTGACCCAGATGCTGGGAGTGCATGACAGCAATGTCATAGGCTCCTCACCCCAGTCAGGGGTGGTGAACTCTCTGGAGTAGCCCAAAGGCATTATCTTGGCAAAATTAGGTCATGAATGGAATGGAATTAATTTTTTTTAAATTATCTATGGTCTTATTTAAAATTGCAAATAACTGTAACATTCATTAAGTAATTACAGCCAATAGAACATCTAGACCTCCAGGCCACTCTTAACCTCTGCAAACCTCTGTTTGTTCTTCCCAAAGTATTGTTTTAATTTTTGAAAATAGACCAGCTCTGGTGTCATTGCTACTGTAAAGGTAAAGAGAACAGTAACTCACACCCCTCCTCAACCTTTCTTAGTCATGGTGAGAGTTTTTGCCTCTTAATACTTTAACTCCAAAGTCAGACACCTTGACATGCTTTTTTTTTTCCATCTACCACCTGTTTTGACCTCCACGGAAAAGCAGCAGCTCAGACATAATTACATTGCCTCTGTGTCAAACACATTTGGGAGCAGGCTGGGAGACACTGACTGGAACAGAATGAGTGATTTCCAGGCCACCTTGTCAAGTTGCCACTCCTCTGGTGGGGAGGGAGGCTGTCCTGGGAGATGTTAGCAATTAGGTCAGTCTAGGGAAAGCTCTCACAGCTTTTCCATTATCAGCCTCCAGAGTTTCTCTGTGGCTGTTGAATAACAGACTGGTTTAACATCACCCTGAAAAAGGGGTGGAATTGGCCAGAGGGGCATCAGGAATGGTGTTTATAACAGTTCCCAAACGTGGAATGGGCTTCAGTCACTTCTCAGTTTGTAAGTTCCTGCTGTCAGATTTACCATCCACACACCAACAGCAACCTAAAAACCTCTGGCTTTCCCTGCAGTCAGTAGGTAAAAGCAGGATTTGAACAGTTGGGTCTTCCAGTAGAGTAATTTTGAGATGCTTAATATTTAAGAAGAAGCACCTGTTAGCAATCGAAGCAGTCTGAAGAGTTTTCTACAAAGATTTGGGTTTTCTGTATTCTCTTGACTCCTACCAGTTACTGGAATGACTTTCCTTTTACTTTAATAATAGTTTTAACAAATAAAACAAATTATTCCTGAATTCCTTCAGCTGTTCTGTAGTCTTCTGCTGTGCAAGAAGGGGTTTGGTTGCTTTGGGCAAAGGTCTGAGTGGGCTTGGTGCCTCTGCTTTCATTGTGTTGTTGGCAGAAGAGCCTTTGAGGAGATTGGCATGGTGCAGGGTGGTGCTGGAGATCTCCAGGTGTGTGTGGCATCTCTGATTTGTTTCTAGTGTTTCTGCTTTGGGAACATTAATGCTGCATTTCAACAGGATCAAATTTATGTTTTACAAGGTGTGAGGGAATCCTGTTGCCCTGGGAAAGCCCACTTCATGCAGAAATTACAAGATTGCTGCAGTACAGCAATGCTCCGCATTGCTGAAAATGTTTTTTCTTAGGTATTTTCAAATAAGATGGGATTATTTTTTAAGCAAAAGGATAACTTGACATGCTTTTAATGGTTGGAAAAGGGAATAATTGGATTTTCTTCAAAATGCAGAGGCTCCTTTTCTAGAGAGCAGCTCTGAGATACAAGGATGACATGTATTTGTTTGAAGAGTATTGTATCATTGTCTTTTTTTGATACTAAAGTAACTGTACTTTGTTTTTCTCTTTTGTAGCAACTTCAGTCTCAAGCTCGGGCACTGATAATGTTTGCTGGGATGATCCCATACAGAACATCAGGAGACACCAACGCAAGACTGGTGCAAATGGAGATCCTTATGAATTAGCAGAGCAGCTTTGGCTGGGGTTGCAGCAGCTGTGCCTGTCTTTAGTACGTTCAGAGGGCCCATGGGACCAGTGTCATTTTGTATTCTGTATTTTTGTTGACGGAAATAAATTTCTTTGGTTTTGATATTTGTTTTTGACATTTTAATTTTCACTGATTCTTGTGTTTTTATGTTTTTATTAATTTTATTTTCAATTGGTTTACATTTAGAAATTTATTCTTAATTAGTTAACAGGCTATGCATAAAAAAGCCATAGCTCTGCAGTAGGGACACGAATGTGGAATTTTATAGCAGAAGAGAAAATGGAGAAGAAAACTTTGATTTATTTCTTAATGTACTTACAGCTGAGAAACTTTAGGGAGTTTTGGATGCATGTTAAGTGTTGAAAACATGTCTGATGCCCCACTCACCCCTGTGACACTGCCATCAGTCCATCCTGTTGTCTCGTGTGCTGCATGTGCTGCTGCAGTGCCCCTGAGCCCTGTGCTGCACAGACCCCTCCGTGCTCAGCCAGGTGCTCACAGCCCTGGAGCTCTGCTGAAGCTTTTGCAGGAGCAGCTGGGTTGGAAAGAGGTATCTTGTGGTAGGAGAGTTTTTTGTGAGCAGCTCGTGAATTTTAGTCAGTTGCATTCCAAGTGGGCTCTTGCTGAGTTCAGCAGAAGTGAGGAAGCTGAACCAGAGAGGCCCAGGTGAGGCTGTGTTGGGTGTGGGTGGATATTAATGTTGATTTAGCAGGAAATGTGAGCCCTACAAAAGCAAGGGGCTTTTAAAAATGGTTACCATGTTCTGAGCTACACTTAAATAAGAGTGAAAGCCTAAGGAGCACGTTATAGTAGAAGATTTTAGTTTTAATATAACTGTCTGTCTTTGAAAGAAATGGGAGGAATGTTGGTGGTTACTCCTGCTGCCCCCCTGCTGCTGTCTCACCCTCTTGTGTTACTGGGATATGAGAACATGTGGCATTTGGAATGCAGACCAGGCAGCAAAATGTAGGGGCTGATTTCAGCTTTTTATGTTAACAGCTATCACGGGAGAGAATTCATCTCCATTTTGCAATATCTTTGTTTACTGGGATGGAGGAATATCTGACTGACATGATGACAATTTTCCTAATTACTTTTTTCACCAGAAATGTTGTAGAATAAGTTTTGTCCACCTTTTGGACAGGAAGCAAAGGGCTTGCCAGCCACCCCAATCCATCTCCCAGCAAAGCAGCTGCTGGGTTCTCAGAGGATAGAGCTAGGGATTGTGCACAGCATGGAGTGCTCCTGTAGCATGGCCAGGATTGTCCCATCTGAAGGCTGAGGGAGACCTGGACAGCACCCTGCAGGTAAAGGGGAGTTGGTGAGTTACAAGGTGTTATTTTGGGGTGGAAGTGGGCCAGAATTGCTCAACAAATTTGTCAACAGGTGAGTGTGGAAAGCTGTATAGCCTATTAGCATTTCTGGAGTATTTGTGTGGAAATGCTTCTTGGCATATCTCAGGTAAGAACTGATCCCATTCCCTAGAGAACAGGCACCTTCCCTGTTGTTTGTGGACAATTGTGGTGGGGCCAGGGCTGCCCCAGATGCAGTCCTGCAGGATGACCCTGCTCCTGTGTTTTCCTTGCTGGTGCTCAGCCCCTGTCCCTGAGTTACCCCCAGCATGAAACCACCTCCACACAGAGAGTCTGGCAAGTCTGCACCTGTCCTCAGGCAACCACTGACCTGAGCATGCCAGGAACAATGTTTGCTGGAGTGTGGGAAGGATGAGGGCCACCTTCCCCACTGGAATTCCCTCTCCCTGATCTGCCATTCATGCAGGAACAGAAGTCCTTTGGGGTCAGCTCTTAGTGCTGCCATTTCAGGACTTTGTTCTCCTGCCTCTTGCCCATCCCCTGCTCAGGAGAGCTGTGCTGCCTCACTGGCTTGTTCTGATGTCCAGTGTTGAGCCTGGGGACCTTCTGTAAGCAGTACAGTACCCTTTCTCCATCTGCCCTTTGAGGAGGCTATAGCAGGTGCTTTCTGGTGCTTCTCAGCCTTCTTGGGTGTTGGGAAAGTTGATGTCTATATATAGTTTCCTCTTCCTGTGCTCAGTGGTTGTGATTCCAGCCTTTGGTCACTTTTTAAGCTAATCAGAAACTGAATTATTTCATGCTTTCAAAATCCAAGATGATCCTTCTGTGATGGACAGATGGGAAATAAACCCCAGAGAGTCCAAGTCCTGAGACTAACCCTGAAAAGGTAAGACTAGCCCCATTTCCATCAAGATAAGAGATTGTGGGTATAACAGAAAGTGCCACAGATACTTGGAGTTAATTACTTGTTGATTGTCCTGTGATTTCTCCTTTGTGCAGGTGGTGAATGTTACATCCCATTCCCCAGAGTGGCAGGTTCCAGCTCAGTGCCTGAGCCTGGCTCTGGCAAGCCTGCATGACTTCAAGGGCTGTGCTGCTTTGGGGTAGATGCTGATGCACATCCTCGTGCTTTGCTGGATAAGGCACCCCCATGGTTTTCCAGATGTCCCTGTTTTCCCTCCACCTCATGCTTATTCTGCTGGAGAGAACAATCAGCTTCTGCTCCCTCAGGTTTTGCACCATCACTCTGACTTTGCTAATTTACAAGCTTAGCCTTTTCTAAATAGCTTATGTGCTGGAAGGGTTTTTTGGGTGTCACTAAACTCATGCCTTTTGTTTGGTGTAGCCTGTTCAAAGGTGGTGCCACCATGCACTCCCTTTACAACAGGGAGTAGTGCACAGTGTGCAGCAGAGGCAGCAATGTTCACCTGAGCTGAATTAATTCTGAGTAAAAAATGACAAATCTTCTCTAAGTCAGTGGAGCTCTGCTCTTTATACACAAAGCAAGCACAAATTAAGTTTAGGATAATTCCATCTGCTTTTTCCTACCTTGAGACTAATCCCTGGCATTAAAGATCCTCCAGATGGATGAAATGCATCCGAAGGGTGACTCATTGGTTTGAGTCAAATACAGCTGCAGCTTGTGCTGCTGCAGGAGATTAGAGGAAAAAGTGAAAAGCTGTTTGCTGTGAGAGCGTGTAACAATCTTGTTCTGGTGTGGATGCAGCAGAGGCAGGCAGTCTCCAGGTCTGTGTCCCACAGTTTGTGTGGCTCTGTGGTTACTGGAAAGGTTACTGGCAGCTGGCTGAATAACCATCTCTTTTGTTTTCACAGGCTTCCTTTGCTGTGGTGCTGAGAAATGGAGTCTGCTCTGCACGGTGGGTTTGCAGTGCTGAGCCCCTGCATCATCGTGTGTCCTGTGTCACTCAGGGTGGTAGGTTCCCTCTTCCACAGGGATGGAAACAGGTCAATTAAAGCTTCATTAAACCCTTTTGAAATATAACACTTCAGCAGTCTTTAAAAGAAGCCGTGTAATGCACTATGCCATGCTCTGCTTAACTCAATTTTGGGTTCATTTGATGCATTTAATATCCAGAACAAACTGGGGGATCGGCTGGAAGTGAGGGAAAGCCCTGCAGAACCAACTTGGCACCTCTTCCGTGTGAGTGGAGGGCTGGAGGGCGGCTGCAGAGCGCTCCCAGCGCCGCCCGGCCGGTATTGGTGCTGCAGCTGGTGTTGTGAATCAGGCCGACGACAAGCGCTTCCTACAATCCGGCTATTTCACTACACCAGGGTTGCATCATACCACTCGCTTCTCTTCGCCGCCTCCGGAGCCCTCCTGTGCCTTCCGGAGCATCTCTGGCTGTGCTGTGTGTAACAGACCCCTCACTTAAGAGACTGATTTGTGCTATTTTGGGCGTATCAGCGGTTTTGATGAAACAGCGCGGTTCTAAAATAAAGCCACTTCTGCTGGGTGTGAGTCTGCTGTGCATCTGTGGTGAGAGGAAGCTGATGTCCACTCTGTGGAGGTTGTTGTGTGGGGTGCTGGGGTGAGGCTCTTTCCTCATCCCTTGTCCTGCTCTCGGGGCTCCCAGGTGCTCTGCAGTGCTGCGAGGGCTGAGCACGGATGCAGACCGGGCTGCCTGCCCTCAGCTTCCCCTGGCTTCTGATCACAGCCCGTCTGCCCTCGCACAAACAAGAGGGCTGGAGCAAGTCCTCAAAAATCAGGTCAAAATTTGTGTGTGAATGCAAAGACAGCCAGAGGCAGCACGGCAGGCAGGCCCAATTTTCCATTAACTTGCAAAGCCACACGGAGCTGAAATTCCAATGTGCTGCCCTCGAGTTTTATTGCTGGCCTTGTTTGCTGTCTTTGCTGATCTTATCTGTAACTGCTTTCGTGGCACATGTGACAGGGGCTGCGGGAGTGTAAGAGGCGCCCATCCCTCCCCCTGTCCTCCCCTCCTGTGGCTGTGGGGTTACGACCACACAGCTTCAGCTGTGTTTTGTGTGATGGAGCAAGGGTTTAAGTGGCTTATTAACTCAGGGATGGGACTGGGAGCGGTTCTGAGCCCTGGCAGCTCAGTGGTACCCTGGGTCTGGAGGGGAAGGGGGCTGTGGGACCAGGGGCATCTCTGCTGCCTGGTACTGAGAGCTGCCAGCTCCCGGCCCTGGACAAGCACAGACAGACTTAGACCACTCTGTGCACCCTGTCTTCTCCAGCAGCCTGGAATCTGAGCCCCAGCAGGGGCATCCCTCAGGTCCCTTGATGTTACGCTCCCCCCTTCCCCCTGGTTTCAGTGAGATAAAGGCACCATTCCCCTCCCCACATCCGGCCCAGCTCAATGCCACAGGCAGCATCCTGGAGACCAGCCAAGATGATTTATGAGATCTGACGGCTCTGGGGCAGTATCCCAGGGAAGGGCGAGGGTGCGTGGGAGTCTTGCTCCCTTTTTCCATAATAAATCCCTGTGAACTGAATGTTCCTGGGCTGGGGCCGGAGGCAAACTCAGCGCTGCATTTCTCTGCTGATCTGTCCTTGGGACTTAATCTCAAATCCGTTATCGCTGCCCCAATCAAGTGCTGGGAGGCAGTGATGCCCATTATGGTGGTTTTGGTATCCCTTCCAGCTATTTTTTTCCCCCTGACCAGCTCGGGGTGGTTCAAGCTGATTCCTTTCCTCTATTAGCATCGGTGGTGGGTGTGTGCCGGTCACCTCGCTCCGGTTTTGCGGGGTATAAAGCCAGCAAGCCCCTCTCCACCCTGTCCCCCACCTGGCAGGCTCCTGGGCAGGGTCAATGGCCGAGCTGCCCACCCCAGATCTGCCCCCGGCCCGCTGCAGCGGCCGCTTCACCATCAGCACCCTCCTGGGCATGGAGGAGGGGGGCCGGGGGCCCTACACACCCACCGAGGGGTCCAGCTGCGACAGCGCCCAGCCCACCCAGCTGTCCAGCAGCACCCTCTGCACCAGGACCTTCGGCTACAACACGGTGGATGTGGTGCCAGCCTACGAGCACTACGCCAACAGCAAGGGGGTGGGCGACCCCAGGAGGGGCAGGCCCTCGCTGGCTGACCTGCACTCCATCCTCAAGGTAACAGAGGGCTTGGCTGTACCCATAGCATCTCTGGCATCCCCTGGCCATGCTGCTGGTCCCTGCGAAGTGTCTGTGGTGGGTAGCTGTCTCCTGCCTCTTGGTGCCATAACTGGTGCTGTGCCGACTGCACATCCCCAAGAAGGCCCTGAGAGAAGCCAGAGAATCCAGCTGTTTCCAGCTGTGTGGTCAACCAGAGCATTGCCTCCAGGGACAGCTGCCTGAATTCCACGCTCACCTGCCTTCCCCTCATCCTACAGCCTGACCCAGGCCGCCGTCACACGCCGGTGTCTGACCTGCAGCAGAGCAATGGCCTGCCAGAGGCCGGGCCGGAGGCTGGGCTGGAGGAGGCAGAAGGGGAGCCAGGCAGAGACTCCGTGCCAGAACCTGTCCGCTTTGGATGGGTGAAGGGCGTCATGGTGAGTGTGACCCATCCCCCACGGAGCATCCTCCTGCCCTCCTACCTTGTAAGCATTTTTCCCTTGTTGCATTTTTCCCAATGTCTGTGTTTTTGCGAGCATATGTGCTTTGTGCAATTCTCTGCCCTCCTCGGTGGGGTGATTTTCTCTGAGGAGCAGCAGAGCTGGCATGGTTTGGCCATCCCCAGGTGGCCAAATTCAGTGCCCTGATGGCCAGTTCACCTCTGTCCCCCCTCAGATTCGCTGCATGCTGAACATCTGGGGAGTTATCCTCTACTTGCGCTTGCCCTGGATCACTGCCCAGGCAGGAATCGGTGGGTGCTGCAGTTCCTGGTGGGCTGGGCAGTGGCACTGGGCCCATCATCACCCAGACACCTGGGGGTGGTGGGACGCCTAGGAATGGCTGGGGGATGCAGTGAAGCAATGTCCTTTCTCCGCAGCCCTGACATGGCTCATCATCCTCATGTCTGTGACAGTGACCACCATAACCGGCTTGTCCATCTCTGCCATATCCACCAATGGCAAAGTGAAGTCAGGTAGTGTGTTCCCTCCTGGCCACCCCGGGGGTCTCTTTATCCTGGGGCTGCCCCATGGATGTGAACTCCTGGCATGGGCTGTGAGGTGTGGGGAACCCCAAAAACGTGGGGGAAGCAGTAATGCCATGGGTGTTCCCTGCTCAGGAGGCACCTACTTCCTCATCTCGCGGAGCCTCGGGCCGGAGCTGGGCGGCTCCATCGGGCTGATCTTTGCCTTTGCAAATGCAGTGGCCGTGGCCATGCACACAGTGGGCTTTGCTGAAACTGTCCGGGACCTGCTGCAGGTAAGAGAGCAGCTCTGTGTCCTCTGGGTCCCAATGTCCCCCCTACCCCTCCATCCCCATCTTCTCCTTGCACAACCTGCGTTGATTATCAATATTTGCCTTATCATTGGACCACTGATAATCAAACAGTGGCTGCTAAAACTCACTGGAAAAACCAGTGATTTATTACGGGAGAAGGTTATTTCTGTGTTGTGAATAGTTCCCCTTCCCCAGGAGCACAATTCCCTCATCGTGGACCCCACCAATGACATCCGAATCATTGGGGTCATCACTGTGACAGTGCTGCTGGGCATCTCCCTGGCTGGCATGGAATGGGAGGCCAAGGTAACCCTCACTCCTGCTCACATTTTCCTCCTGGGCTGGTAAGAGCTGTCCTTTCTGTCCACCAGGCATCTGAGGAGCAGAGGATGCCTGTAGCTCCCCAAAAATTGACATGGGTTTCTCCTAATGCATTCTTCACTCTTTCTGTGCCCAAACCCCCAATCCTTCAGCTGGCTCTTTCTGGTCTGGCAGGCACAGATCCTGTTCTTCCTGGTCATCTTGGTTTCCTTCATTAACTACCTGGTGGGGACGGTGATCCCAGCTACTGCTGAGAAGCAAGCGAAGGGCTTCTTCAGCTACCGAGGTGGGTCCACCGCAGGCTGGGGTTGCACTCAGCAGGTCCAAGTGCATCTCTGGAGCCTGGCTCTTTGCTGCAGTTTGGGGAGATGTTTGCTACAGGAAGGTGCTCCTTGCTGTCACTAAAAGCACAGTTTCCCCTCCCATGGGATCCCTGCCATCAGCACTATGCCCCCAGCCAGTGCTGAGGTGCTTTAGCCAGGAAAAAAGTAGCCAAGAGGCCTTAAATGCTTCTCCTCTGCTTCCTCCCCAGCTGATATCTTTGCTCAGAACTTTGTGCCGAACTGGCGTGGACCTGAGGGCTCCTTCTTTGGCTTGTTTTCCATCTTCTTCCCATCTGCAACCGGTATCCTGGCTGGGGCCAATATTTCAGGTGACCTGAAGGTGGGTTGTGACTGTTGCTACCTGAGCCAGTGTTTCTTAAATCTCAAGCCCTATTTTCCCTGGGGCTTTCATTTTGATCCACCCGTTAGATTTTGTTTTATTTATTATGCAAACTTCAGTCTCAGCCAGGAGATGCTCTGTGGCTTTGTGATACAGTGAATTAAAATTCCTCCTGTACAGCAGCCACAAATAAGCTGCCTACAGTAGCACTGCTGCTGGAAAGCTGTCTTACATATCTCTGCAACTCCCTTGGGCAGGATCCTGCCGTGGCCATCCCCAAGGGCACCTTGATGGCCATCTTCTGGACCACTATGTCCTACCTGGTGCTTTCTGCTACCATTGGTAAGAGCACATCCTCAGGTGCAGTGGGTGAGGGGGCTGGGTGGGTGGGCTGGCCCCTACCCAAAATGGATGGCCTGGAGGATGCAGGTGTGTAGGAGCCAGGAGCAAGCTGTGGACACTGGCACTGATATCCCAGTGTGAGTGCCACAGGTGCCAAACCTTGTTCCTACCCCTATATGGGGCAAAGTCATCCTGGGTGGGCAGTGGAGCTCATGGCATTGCTCAAAGCCCCATGGCAGGGACGTGGGAGTTGTCACGGGCAGTGGGATGTGGGGCTGGGCTTCCTGAAGCCATGGAGAGGTGCCAGCCCTGCCCTAGCCCTGTGTGCCCCCCAGGTGCCTGTGTGGTGCGAGATGCTTCAGGCAGCCTGAACGACAGCGTGGCCGTGGGCTCGCCGGGCTGTGAGGGACTGGCCTGCAGCTTCGGCTGGAACTTCACCGCCTGCACCCAGCAGCAGAGCTGCCGGTATGGGCTCAGCAACTACTACCAGGTACTGCTCAGCACCATGACCAGCCCCTGTTCCTGCTCCTGGCCAGGTTGGTGCTGCACTGGATGGCTTTCCTTGCCATCCTGGGTCACCCATGCTCTTGAAACAGCCATTTTTTAACAGGAAAGCACCAGGGAGTGGGCTTTTGGATATGGCTGGACTTTGCTGCCTGGATAATGTGAAAGGAAATGCAGCAGGATGGGGGCTGGGGCTGGAAATCCCTCAGGGCTGGGGTGGAGGTTGGTGCAGCAGAGATGCTGGGGTTCCTGATCCCCTGGTTTTCATGCAGAGCATGAGCATGGTGTCTGGATTTGGCCCCCTCATTACAGCAGGGATCTTTGGTGCTACCCTCTCCTCAGCATTGGCCTGCCTTGTCTCAGCCCCCAAAGTCTTCCAGGTGAGGGGGTGGTGTCTGCACACCCCAGCTCCTCTCCCTGAGCTCAGCAGTGGGTGATGCTCCTTGGTGCAGGGCTCTGCATCTGTGAGCAGCCCTGGAGCAAGGAGGATGCTGCTGTCACCAAAGGGCATGTGTCCAGTTCGGCCCTTGCTCTCAGGGATGCAGGAGCCACCACGGCACTGCCATCCCACATCCCTGGCAAAGCCTGCTGTCCCCACTGTGTCTCTCTTTGCAGTGTCTCTGCAAGGACCAGCTCTATCCTCTCATCGGCTTCTTTGGGAAGGGCTATGGGAGGAACAGCGAGCCCATCCGTGGCTACATGCTCACCTACGTCATTGCTGTTGGCTTTATCCTCATCGGTGGGTGCTTGCTGCCCCAGCACCTCCTGCCGCTTGACACCAGCAGGGTGGCTCAGTCCCCACCACTGACAGCTCACTCTCTCCTCCTCCTTCCACAGCTGAGCTCAATGCCATCGCCCCCATCATCTCCAACTTCTTCCTCTGCTCCTACGCCCTCATCAACTTCAGCTGCTTCCACGCCTCCATCACCAACTCCCCAGGTGGGCTGTGCCGTGCCACGCCTGCCCTGCGGCGCCGGCTCCGCGTGCGGCTCCGTGTCCGGCAGCGGCCGCTCTGTGTGTTTGCTGCAGGCTGGCGACCCTCCTTTCGGTATTACAGCAAGTGGGCTGCACTCTTTGGAGCTGTTGTCTCAGTGGTCATCATGTTCCTGCTGACCTGGTGGGCAGCCCTCATTGCCTTCGGGATCGTCATCTTCCTCCTGGGATACGTCCTCTACAAAAAGCCAGGTGGGTGGTGGTGATCTGGCAGCAGCGATGCCCCAGAAGGTCTCTGGCCCTGTTGCTAATCCATCTTCCCCTGCAGATGTCAACTGGGGCTCCTCCATGCAAGCCAGCTCCTACAACATGGCCCTCAACTACTCAGTGGGGCTGAGTGAAGTGGATGAGCACATCAAGAACTACAGGCAAGGGCAGCTCATTGCAGTGCTGGGCATGGAGGGAGTGGGATGAAGAGCCAGCTCCTGCCTATGCTAAACCCAGGGAGGCATCGTGCTCATGGCCACATCCTCACCACCACCCTCAGTAACCAGGAGCTACAGCAAAATGTGTCTGTCTCCAAAATCCCATGTCTGTGCCACGTAAGGTAGAAAACTGGGAAAACCTTGACCTCCCTGTACCAGGCAGACACAGACATATTGGTGTCATCTGATATAAAAAGACCAAAAAGTGAGACTGGACCCTCAGGCCACATAATGTTTTCTCATTCTAAAGATGCTTCCTATAGTTACCACTGGCCAAGCATGGGAGAAGAAACATGGCTCATTCCAAAGGGCTGGATGCCTCCAAATACTATTCCTCACTCTCTTTTTCCCCTGCCTGCAGACCGCAGTGCCTGGTGCTGACCGGCCCACCCAACTTCCGCCCGGCTCTGGTGGATTTTGTGGGGACCTTCACCAAGAACCTCAGCCTGATGCTCTGTGGCAACGTGCTGATTGTGAGTCACCTGCAGAAGCTGGTTGGTTCCTTGTCCTGGGGGCTCTGGCCACCAGTGGGTGATGGGCTGGGAAATCCAGTTGTATCCTGGTGGATACAGGGTGGAGGTTGAAATGTGTCCACTTGTGTGCTGCTGGATGATGAAATGTGCCAAATGGAAGTCCCTCTGAGTTGTTAAGCAATATTGGTGAAGCATCAGGATGTCCCTTTGGGCTTATGACTTCCCTTTGCCAATTAATTGCGGAATATTTGGAAGGATGAAGTAGTAGTAGTAGTATTGCTCAGAGAACACGTGGATCTTGCAGCCCTGAAGTGTTCAGAGCAATTGGGTGCAGTAAGAACCAGCTCATCTGCACCCACAGGACTGTTGGGATTGTGTGCATTGGCTGTTGACTCCCTGGATTCACTGGTTTTCTTGGCTGTGATTGCAACCTCCCATGTGTGCAGTGGTTACATCCACCTCTTGCCCATGACTTGGGAAGAGAGGAGCTAGAAGTCCTTGGTGACAAGACTTGTTGCAGTTGGAAGGGGCTGCCTGAGCTCCTGCTCCTGATTCCTGCAGGGACCACAGAAGCAGAAGATGCCAGAGTCCCGTCTGATGGCAGATGGCCACACTAAGTGGCTAATGAAGAGGAAAATCAAGGCCTTCTACACGGATGTGGTGGCTGAGGATTTGAGAAGTGGTGTCCAAATGCTCATCCAGGTACAGCCGTCATTGGCCTTCCAGCAGCAGGGTCCCTCTCTCTTTGTGAGGAGGTCAGAGCTTGGGGGAGCTCTGACCTCCCTCCATGATCTCCAGGCACCCCGCTTTGTGTTGCTCCCCCATGGAGTGGACTGACACCACCTGTGTCCGTCTGTCCCTGCAGAGGGGTCTCATGGGGACATCTATCCATAGGCTGCTGGCCTTGGGAAGATGAGACCTAACATCTTAGTGCTGGGCTACAAGAGGAACTGGCGGACGGCATCTCCACAGAGCCTGGAGGACTACGTGGGCATCCTGCAGTACGGCCACACCAGCTCCTCCACCTCTTGGGGACACTGGCACCTGCTGGTGGCCCCACTGCTGGCTGCAGTCACATGTGCAGGGTCCAGCTGGGCTGACAGTGCACCCTCCATTAACTGCCTTCTCCTCCCTCCCTCCCTCCAGCGACGCGTTCGATTTCAAGTACGGCGTGTGCTTAATGCGGATGAAGGAAGGGCTGAATGTTTCCCGGGTGCTGCAGGCACATGGTAAGTGGTTTTAGCCAGCCAGGGATGCAAGGAGACATGGAGCTGTGGGATGTGCCAGCCAGCACCATGTCCCCAGACAAAGGCCACAGTCCTGGCAGGACATCACTCCTGGGTGGGGACAGTGAGGCACTGCTGTGCTGCCCTTGCTCTTCTCCTCCCTCCTCAGTTAACCCCACGTTTGAGGCAGCACAGCACCCTGAGAATGGCACTGGCAGCAGAGCAGCCCCAGGCACAGGTAGGTTGGTCCTGGCTTGTGACCACCCAGAGCATCCCCAGCTCTGAGGATTATTTTTCAGGCAGGGTGGGGGTTTCAAGCACTGATGAGGAGCAGGGCTGGGACCAGGAAGAAGTGATGCCTTTAATCCACGGCTGGTGGTGCTCTTTACTGACACCAGGACCCTCTTGCCCCAGCAGTGGACCCCACCACGTTGGCCAGTGAGCAGCAGGCGAGCACCATCTTCCAGAGCAAGCAGGGCAACAAGACCATTGACATTTACTGGCTCTTTGATGATGGAGGTAACCTTCACCTTCCATCTGCCCAGATAATGTGAGCCCAGCACCTCCCCTGCAGTGCCCAGCAGGGCTCAGTCCTGCCAATGGGCCAGGGCACCAAGGAAGCAGTGGTGAGCCTGGGGGTCACTGCTGCATCTCCCACCGCGTGTTTTGGGGCCAGGTCTCACGCTGCTCATCCCTTACCTGCTGGGGCGCAAGAAGCGGTGGGGAAAGTGCAAAATCCGGGTGTTTGTCGGCGGGCAGATCAACAGGATGGACGAGGAGAGGAAGGCGTAAGTGCTGGTGGCCACTGCACCTCTTAGCCACTTGGCCACTGCCACTGTCCTGTGGCTGGTGACACAAGCTAGCTCCCATCCTGCTGAGCCCTCCCAGCTTTGCCATAATGGGATCTGTGAGCTCTGATCTGGCTGCTTTGCCTCATGTATCTGGAAATCAATGTGGCTGCAGAGTGGGAAAACCCAAAGTGCAGACTGAGACCAGCAGGGTTCTCTGTCAGAGCTACTATTCCCTGCTAACTTTGGCGAAATATGTCCTTTTCTCTCCATTAGGATTGTCTCTCTGCTGAGCAAGTTCCGCCTCGGCTTCCATGAGGTCCACATCCTCCCTGACATCAACCAGAAACCCCGGCCAGAGCAGTAACCACCCCCCTCCCCTTGCCTGTGCCCCCACAGCACCCCCAACCCTGCCCAGACCCTCTTCCTTGGCACTGTCTGCTTGTGTTGCAGCATCAAGAGATTTGATGACCTCATCGCTCCCTTCAGGCTGAACGATGGCTTCAAAGACGAGGCCACAGTGAATGAGATGAGACAGGGCTGTCCCTGGAAGATTTCTGATGAGGAGGTCGATAAAAACAGAGCCAAGGTAGCACCAGGGCCAGGGGAGCTCCTGCAAAGGGTCTCCCGCTTTTTAGACAAAATTTAGTCTTTTTCTGGAAACCATTATTTTGTGTTTCTCGATGCTCTTTGCTCCACAGTCGCTCCGACAAGTGAGGCTGAATGAGATTTTGCTGGATTACTCACGGGATGCAGCACTCATAGCCATGTAGGTGCTAGTAATGCCCTCACACCTGTTTCTTGCCCCATGGGAATGGACCCTCGGGATGTTCACCCCTCCTGGGTGGGGAGGTGCAGCACAGACACCCTAATGCTGTGGTGAGAGTGCTGCACCACAGGGAAAAGCCCTTGGAAGACACCAGGAGCTCCAGCTTGGGCCGTGTCGGGTGGGAGGATGTGGTGTTGCCCCTCTTAGGGGAATAAGCTGCAATGGCCGGAGGGAGGGCTGCGGCGGGGCTCGGAGCCCCGCTCACGCCCCGGCTGCCCGCAGCACTCCACCCATCGGCAGGAAGGGCCGCTGCCCCAGCGCCCTCTACATGGCCTGGCTCGAGACCCTCTCCCAGGACCTCAGACCCCCCATCATCCTCACACGGGGAAACCAAGAGAACGTCTTGACCTTTTACTGCCAATAAAACCTCCTGCATTCCTGATGACTTGGGATGTGAATTTTTCAGGCCGGTTTTGGTCCTGGAGCATGCTCCTCTGGGAGTCTGGGGGGGCAGTGAAGGCACGGTGGTTACCAGCCCTCTGGAAATGCCCACCAGGCATTTACCAGGCACTCTTACAAACACTTGTTGGGCCCATCTCAGGCTCTGGAGGTTGTACATTGATAAACAGCCATGCTGGGCCTGCAGTGCAGGCACTACTCTGGCCTGGGGTTAGCCAGAGCCAGGCAGGGGAGTTGTGGGGTCCTGCACAAGTGGTGTGCAGGGACTGAATGCTGGCCCAGCAAAGCCACTGGCCCAGGGTGGGAACAGCCCCAGGGGCTGGGAGCAGGTCAGCACCAAGCCCAGGGGCTGCAGGGCCCAGCATGTCCCCTCAGGGACAGGGATGACAGCTAAGCCTGTCCCCAGCTGAGCAGCAGTGAGCTGTCACCTCAGACTGTGGTGCCTGGCTGCAGATGCAGGTCCAGCTCCCAATGGAGACAACATTTCCCACCAGAACCAGGACATTTCTGGTGCAGATGGCCCCAAGCAAAGCAGGAGTGCAGCTCATTTGCAAAAGCACAACCCAGGCCCCCTTGTCATGCTGCAGAAGAAACACACAACATCCATTCACCTCACGAGTTACAGAATTTACTGATAATCACCACCAGGATTAGGAGTGTCAGTAGAAAAATAAAATGTACAGACTTTTCAATCATACAAAGATTTGTTCGTGACAGCTGCAGCTGTGAGCAAGAGGAAGCCGGTGGGGGCAGAGGGGATGTCACACACAGGGAGCAGGGCCATGAGCTTGTAAGTGGATGTTCCTCCAGGGCAGGCAGCTTCTCCAGGTGTTTCCTTAACCAGCACAGTGGCTGGGCTCCCCAGCAGAGGCTCACAGCACTGCTGAGCCCAGGACACCTCAGCGTTGATGTTTTTGCCGGCTCTTTGCAGTTTCTGGCGAGTTTGACTGAGCAAAGTCTACCAGTACCTGATGAAAATTGAAGGGATTCCTCCACATGCCTCACTTGGAATAAAGGAATGGAAAGGGAAGGCCAAAGCAATGAGGGGAGGAAACTGCCACCAGTGCTTCAACTGCCACCTGGTGCTTCAGCTCAAGGCTACTCCTCCTTTCTGTTCAGCTCTGGTTTTACTGGAGAGGGATGCTGCCAGCAGCAGCCAGCAGAGTGGGGGACGTCTGTGAGCACCAAGGTGACACAAAGAACTTGCCTCCTGTGCTAATATGAACAGACAAATCAGCTGATTGTTCACCTTTTATGCAAGAATTTCCTGAAAATTTCATAGCATCTAGGCACAGAGAGACATTGCCAGCTCCAAACAGGGGCAAGCTGCCAACTCTTCAAGTAAACCAGAACCACCTCAAACAGACTCTCAGAGGGATAGAAAAGGGATAGAAAGCAGGTTTTCAGTTCACCCAGCACTGAGTGACTTTACTGAGCAATTTTTCACTTGTTCTGAGCTCTGTGACAGCCCCATTTGTGTCCTGCACCCCTCAGCCCTGTTCCTGCAAGGAAACCTCCTCTTGCTGTAGCACAGGGCACGTGGATAAAGTGCTTTCTCAGCTGCAATCAGCTTAATGGCTTTTGAGTGGTGCCAGGCACCAGTGCAGGGTAAAGGAGAGCACAGCAGGAGCCCAGGACATTGGCTTCTCGTGTCACCTGAAAGGTAAAGCCAGACCCACCCTATTCAAATTCCATGAGATACTTTTAATCCATCCAGGAAAACACAGGATAATTTCTGTAAATTAAACTGTGCACTCTGTACACATGCTGAAATATGAAATGAGAAAGGGGAAAAGAAAGAAAGCTTATTCCTTCCTTTTCATTGTTTCTGCACTGGCAGGAAGACTGGCTCTCTACAAGCAGCACAAGCACACAGGGCTCTCCACAGATCCAGATTTAATGTTACACCACTTGGACCTCACCCACCTAAGGAGAAGGATTCACATTAAATTATTTCCTGAACTGTGCATCTATATTCCCTGAATTAACATAGGCTAAAATTTAGAGTAATCTCCATTAGTAATTCCTGTAAAACACCTCTCACCACTGACAGATCACTCTTGAGGAGTCTGTGCATAGAGAAATCCTTTTCCATGGCAGACACAGTGCCCTGCTGAAGGATCCCAGAATCAATTTGGTTTAGAAAAGCTCTCTAAGATCCAGTCCAGCCTTTGACTGGTCACCACCTCATCATCCAGACCATGGCACTAAGTGCCACATCCAATCACTCCAGCACTGAGGACATGGGCTCATGGCAGGTAAATGACTACAGGAAATGCTGCAGGTACAAAAGGAACTGGTTTGGAAACCAGAGGAATTCAATGAAGACAGGGATGGGAACAGGCCCCTGAAAGGCTGCACACAGTGCAGCCCACATACACGGTGTGAGCTGGGTGCAAACACAGAGCACAGCAAGCCCCTCGGGGTGGCTGCACTGCCCAGCCACATCCCTGGAATTCAGCCTCAGCTCCCCCAAAGAGCCAAGCCCCAGGAAGCTCCCAGTTAGCTGCTCAAGTGCCCCAGCCATGCAGCACAGCTCTGGGCACAAGTGCAGAGCTACCACTCAGGTAAAAGTCACTTAAAACCACAACAAACTAAAACAATTCATGAGGAAACAGAGAAGGGCTGATGTGGGGCTGTGCTCACACAGACACAGGGATCAGCCAGGCTCCTGCCTGGAGCCCTGCAGCTCTGCCAGCCCCAGCAGGCTCTGGGCTGCATTCCCTGGGGACAGCCAGGTCACAGCCCGGCCTGGCCACGCAGCTCTCAGCAGCAGGGATTTCATCCAAGCTGCCCAGTGCCACTCCCAGATCAGGGCAGACACCCAGCTCCACCACGCCATCAGCAGCATCAGCAAGTCAAACAGAACAGGGCTGTCTGAAAACACAAGTCTCTTTCCAAGCCTGGGGAGAGCTGTGCACGCCCACAGGCACACCTGGCATTTCTGGAGTGCCCATTCCACTCTGCCTCTGGGGAAAACACTCACAGGGCCAGAAGAGCTTTGCTGTAATAAAACTCACAAAATCTTTTTTATACCAGACATTTCCCCTGTGCAGCATTCACAGCCAGAGCTCCCAGACACAAATCTGCACTCTCATCCATCTAAAATGAGTTCTTCATTTCTGCTCCCAAATCCACTATGGCCATGACCTGGTATTAAGAAGTTTGGGCCAGGAAGAAAGCAATTTTTTAATTTAAAAACTGACATTAAAAGAGCTTCAGGTTCACTGAAAGCCAAGCAACAAAGTGGTGAGTGAGCTCTGAGGACACGATGTCCCTCTGGCCCTGTCCCCACCCCAGCACAGCTGGTGTCACATTTCAGTCACTTCCTGTTACTACAGCTCATCCCTGGTGAAGGTACCCGGGGCTCCTCCTCTGGCAGCCATTTTCCTACCCTCCAGAGAAATAAAGTTTCACTTGGCACTTAATGTTACCAAAAAGTAACAAAATTCACGATTTTTCAAATTTCAAGCCAGGCTGGAGGCAGGAGCAAGCCGCCCCAATTCCTTAAATCAGCAGAAGAACACAGGGCTGGAGCTGTGCCCGCTGTGATTTGTGTGAGGCAGCAGGTCCTCTGCTCCCCTCTGGTTTGTGCTCTCCAGAGGAGCTACAGGGTGGCCAGGACACGCAGGAAGGAAACCACCACCACACAGAACGTCTGCCCCACGCCAAAAATCAGGGCCTCAAAGGGAATCATTTTCTTCCCCGCAGCTCTGTAAACTCCAGCAAAGGCAGCACCTGTGGAGAGGGGGAAAGGCAGGACGTGACTGTCAGACACTGCTCTGCACAGGGTGCAGGGGAGCCCCAGGCTGGGGCACAGAACAGCGGGGTCTGAGCCTCCCCTGCTCCCCAGCAGGTGGGAGTGCTGGGCTGGGCATGCCTGACAAACCTCAGCGAGAGCCAGCGCCTGCTGGAGCCATGGGAGAGCTGCTGAAACTGTGCTGAGGGCTCCAGCGCTGTGGGGCTTGGGACAGACCCTTGTCACAAGATCCCCCACCCCCAGGCTGCACACATTACCCACTTCTGGGCACCGCACCAGACCTCGGAGAGATTTTCCTCCCGGTGCTCAGGAACGTGCACGGCCCCTCGGCTCTGCACGGGCACGTCTGGAATGCCCCGCGCAGGGCTCGGCACGGGGGACAGACCCGCTCTGAAACGGGGGCAAGGGGGAAGTAAAGCCAGCACGGTGACCCCCACCCCGGGGAACACGGCCGTTCCGCGCGCTCCCGAAGGCAGCCCCGGCCCGGCCCGGCCCAGCCCCGGGCTCCCGCCGTACTTGTGAGGGTGCCGGCGGTGATGGGTCCCACGATGCCCATCAGCAGCACGCTCACGGACATGAACCGCCCGTACTTGTGGTGCCGGAGCGTGAACAGGGCGAGCAGCGCGGCCGGCACGTGGAAGGCAAGGGAGGAGACGAGCGCCCAGAGGAAGACGCCGTACCACATCTCTGCGGAGAGAGGGGCTGTGAGGGCGGCCCGGGCCCGCAGGCCGCCCGCGGCCCCGGCGGGCGCCGCTCCGCCCATGGAGGTACCTGGGAAGGTGGAGAGCGGGCTGGAGTAGGTGGTGGTGCCATTGCCCACGCGGGGCACGAGGCGAAGGCTGAGGATCTGCTGCAGGAGCCCCCCGCCACCGCCGCCCGCTTCGCCGCCCGCTTCGCTGCTGTCCATCCCCGCGACCGCCCCGCCGCCATCCGCCACCGCCCCTTCCGCCCGCCGCAGCCAATGGAAAGCGTGGAAAGATGATAGACAGCGCACAGGACCAATCAGCGCTGGTCTCCGGGCAGCCGGGCCCGCCCTGACCCCGCGCTGCCATGGGAACGGCTGTGTGCCGCAAGGAATGCTGGGATCCCGGCGGGACGCTCTGGCCCGCTGGCGGACTCTCGTCTCTCCTCCCCGCGCGCGGCGCCGCCCCGGAGGCGCGGCCGTTCTTCCTGGCCGCCAGGGGGCGCGCGCGGGCGGCGGCGGCGCTCTGGGCGCGGGCGGGAGCAGCGAGGCGGCGGGGCCGGGCCGCGCCATGGCGGGCTCGGAGTCGGAGCCGGAGCAGGAGCAGTACTCCTCGGCCGAGGATGACGACTACGTGCCCTCAGGTGAGCGGCGGCGGGCGGGAGCCGGCGCTGCCGGCGCTGCCGGCGCTCACGGTGTGTGCTTGCAGGTGCGGAGTACAGCGAGGATGACGAGAGCGAGCTGGTGCGGGAGGAGGAGCCGGCGGACAGCCCGCGGCCGCCCCGCGGCAGGAGGAGCCCCCGCCGCCCCGGCAGCAGGTACGGCGCTGCCGGAGCGCTGCAGGAACGGGAAACGCTGCTCTGCGTTCCGCTTCAGCGGCGGGAGCAGAGCCTCGGCCCCGGCACACAGCGTGCCTGGAAACCCTCCCCGGCAGGATTGTTTATATGAGTCGTTTTCAGTGCAGGGCATGCACGTACGGGGTTTCTCACGTTGATGTAAATATATGCACACTTTAGCCGAGGTTGGTTTGTGTCTAGTCCAGGTTCTCCTCCCCTCCTGGCTCCTGCATTATCCCGGAGCCACAGGACCCTGGAATGGTTTGGGTTGGAAGGGTCCTTAAAGACCACCCTGTTCCACCCTCCTGCCATGGGCAGGGACAGCTCCCCCCGGACCAGGTCACTCAGAGCTCCATCCAGCCTGGCCCTGAACGCTTACAGGAATGGCCAACCTGTGCCAGTGTTTCAGCACATTATGTACTCCCAGAAATGCATGCTAAGGGGCCAGTTCACTTCAGGGGCACTGCCTGCATCAGTCTCACTCTATTTTCTGAGCAGCAGCATCTTTTAATAAAATACATACATTCCCAAGTTAAGAGGGAACCTCCCAGATTGGATGTGTTAGTAAAAATATGAAATATAGTGTTGCTTCACCCAAGCTCGCAGTTCAGCTCTGGAATAGTGTGGCAGCAGTTCCATATGCATTTTTTCTTCTTTTTGGCATCTGCTTTCAGGAAGAGGAAGAAAGGCGGTCTCTTGCTAGAGGCAGATGAGAAGGAGGAAGAAAAGGCCCAGCAGAATGGAGAGGAGGAAGCAGATAATGCAGAGCAAGTAGAAAGAAGCAGAGAAGAAGAAGAAAAAAGGAAAGAGGATGCTCTTTGGGCCAGTTTCCTCAGTGATGTAGGGCAGAAGCCCAAAGCTGTGGCTGCCACACAAGGGACACAAATTAAGAAGGTAAGGGGGGCACCCAGGGGGTGTGGGAAGGGCCTGAGGGGTGGAGCATGCCCCCTTGGCTCTGGCTGGCATCAGGTGTTGGACAGAGCTGGGAAGAGGCTGGGGTTGGCCTTCCCCTCTGCTTTGTGAGACTGACATCCCCTGAAGGGCCAGACTGCAAGGTGCTGGTTTCCTTCCAGGTCTGGGGGTGGTGCTGCCTTTGGAGCTGTCTGTCAGCACCTTTGAGTGTCCTACACAGCCCTCTTGGCTTCCCTTCCTGGTCCTGGATGCCTCTTTGGCACAGGAGTGATGAGCTTTGGTCTGGGTTGTGCATGTGGGCACAGCTCAGCCCGAGGCTTGTGCTTGTCCTCATGCTTAAAAGGAAAAAAAAAGAAAGAAAAAGGAGCCTTTGTGTGTGTGTGTGAGTGGGGAAACAAGAGGGGTCTGTGCTGGCATCTCTGTGCCTCCAGCCTCGTGGAGGGGGTCTGGAAGGTGCTGCATGTTGCACATTTGCAGCAAGATTGAATCTGGCTTTCTGTGTCCTCTGTAAGCCCCAACAAGGTGCTCTCAGTGTGCAGAGGTTTTTCTGGAGAGAGGATTCTGTGTGTGGTAGCTATTTGAAAGGATTTGGTTCTCAGTAAAACCAAGTGCATGTGTTTGCCTGTCAAAGCCTTTCATGCTGTAGGTGGTAGAAGGGAAGAACACACCACAAGTGAGCCCCTGCTGCTAGAATTATCAGTTTGAGGTTTTTAAGATGGTCAGCCAAAATAAATGTTTAATAACACAAGACTGGAGTCTGCCTGGAGAGTACAGTCCTGACTGTGTGAAGCTTCTTTCTGTGACTGTTGGGAGGTTGTGGAGCAGGTATGGTTTTGTAGTATTTGATTGCAACTTTGGGAAGGAGAGTGCTTTCATCTTAGCCCTCCTGCTTCTCCTTGTTACTGACTGAGCAGCTGGGGTGGTTACCTGTACAGTCAGAGGGAAGAAGAGAAGTGAGCATTTTCTTCTAAGCAGTTCTGCTTTTATGGGCAGGTTGCTAAAATGTGAGATGTCTTTGAAAGTTCCTCCATAGCCTGGAATAATTCATGGGGACGTGCAGTTCCTCTGTTCTCTTTGTGAACTTCTTGGGCTTGCATTGCCTTCTAGATCTCTGTGGTGTGTGGTTGATTCAGACCAAGAATTTGGGGTTTGTTTTGGTAACTCACAGTGGTTGAGGGTTTTTATGTATCCTTTTAGCAGCTGTAGCTGTGACTGAGTAAATTAAGAGGCATTGTTGACAAATTGCTTGATAAAGATTTTTCCTTCTCAAATATTGACAAGTAGGGAGATCAGCATTGCTTTTTCTGCTGATGAGTTTTGTTATTCTCTATTCTTGAGTAAAAATAAACATACTTTGGTGGAATTCACCTTGGCAGCTTTCCTGCTTGGTGGTGCTTAGTTTGAGAGAACCAAGTCTCCAGGCTTTTGCTTTCTTTCTGAACCACTGCAATGTATTCTTGCTCCTTCCTACATTTATTACAATTTCACGTCTTGTTTTAGTTTGTTTTAATCCTAGAGCTTCTATGACAGCCTGGAACCAAAATGGGGAATTTAATTCTGATGGAATGACATTTATTTATTTCTTTTATCTGTCTGTGGGTGACTTGCTTTGACCACCAGTCTAAATTGCAGTGCTACCCAAGGTCTGTGATGGGCCCTTGGCCCTTTGGAATGAATAACAATTTGGCTTGCCTCCACAAATGCATTATTTTGCTTTCTCCTTCATGTATTTTGTAGACTGAAGAAGAGAACAGTGGGAATAAGCCTCAGGAGAAGCCAAAAGATTCAGGAAAAGTGACAATCACCAAAACGTTCGATTTTGCTGGTGAGGAAGTCAAGTAAGTTGGCAGATGTGGTGTGTCCATTGTGGGCCCAGTGCAGCCTGAGTGCTGCTGTGCTGGGGGCAGGCTGGAGCTGGGTCTTCTTTACACTGTTTTTTTTCTTTCATTGTGAGCACATACAGATCTCAGGGAAAACGAGGCCAAGATTTTCCTGCATCAGGAAAATCTGCATCCTTATATGCAGACCTCAGTCTTTACTCAGCTTCATAACATTCATAAATGTAATTCAAATTCACTTAGGCTTCCCCATCTGGCCAGAGTTTATAATGGCTGGCAGAGCTCCCTGGTGGCACTGTCACTGGCAGGGTTGAGACATCTGATCCCCCAAGGATGAGAGTAACACCTTCTATTCCTTCAGCCTAGTCCAGGTTCTGTGCTGTGGGCAGGATATTGGCTGGCACTTTCCCTGGTGATGTTCACAATCCACAAAAAGATTTGCAGGCAGTAGAGGTGTTTTGCTGAGCAGACTAACAGCTGAGAGCTTTTGCCTCTGAAACACGTGCAGCAAAGGGGGTGGGCTGGGTAAAGTCATGCTTTAGGCTGAGTTTGGCTTACAAGAGGCCTCTCAGGCTGTGCTGCAAGAAGGTCCAGGTGTTTTATAAATGCATAAGACCAGAACTGAGGGGCCTGGCTAAACTGCCCTGTGAACTGCTGGTTTTTGTCGTGGGGGATTTTATTTAAATGTAGCAGTAAACCTGGTTTTGTCAAACTAACTTGGCCTGTTCCGTGTGACAGCAGAGGGCAGCAGTTCCCAGCAGTAACACTCGCCCTGCCTAAATCTGGAGGAGGAGGCAGAGCTGGGGCTTCTGCTGCTCTTGCTTTTCATGTTAGCACTGCTGCCTGAGCTGTTTGAAAAATCTGAGGAGAGCTGTGAGCCATAGTAGGGACTTTGCTACTTCCCTGGGCAAGGCAGACCGTAGGAATACCCCTCATTCACTGATTAATTCATTCACTTTGTTCACTGTCCTGTGAAACATTGCTTGCCTTATGTGAACAGAAGTTGTTCAGGGCTCCTAAGACTCTGATTTTATGCTTTTGACATCAGTATCTTATCTGTAGTTTCTTAAGAACTGTAGCTAAGAAAAATATATCTTTTCCTGCACCAGTTGGTTTTCTAGTGTCCTTTGTACTGCTCACTGCTTACTGTTTCCCTTAGGAAACTGCAGAGGAATCAGTAGAAATTTCTACCAATTTTTGATGAAATAGGCAATAGCTGGAGCCTGGGTGATGAGATTTTAATTCTGCAAACCCCAAGGCTAATACATGTTTTGTTCAATTATTATATCAGTTGGTTACAGAACCAGCAACTGAAGGTTTGCAGTGAGGTCTGGGACACTGTTTTCTGCTGGTGCCAGAGTTACAACAAAAGTTATGTTCTTGAGCTCTTTGATAACAGAAAAATCCTTCAATGCTTTTTGCCTCCTTGATCTTTGTGATATGCAAAGCTGATTCTTTTATGTTTATTACATTTTGTTTCTTTAAATGGGTTACACTGTTAGCTGTGGGTAGGGTAAAGGTGTACTTGCTGCTCACAGCTGCTGGTGCTTTCCCCTAATGGCAGAAGATGAGGCCCAGAGGGCTCCTCTTTCTCCAGAATAGCAGGAGCTTGTCTTTGCACCCCCCAACGTCTGCAAATGCTCTGAATACCAAGCACTGACTTCCTTGCCTGGGGAAGCAGCTGGCAAATCCTTGCTTATAAAAGGCCACCACACGGTGGTTGTGTGTGTGTGCATTTCTGGACTGAAGGAACTGAAATGAGAGCTGCCTCTGCTGCTTGCCTTTCTAAATGGTTTGAGGCTACTGTTGAGTGTTGCTCTTTTTGAAACCTTGAGAAGAATTTAGATCAGTGTTTAAGCAGTGAAAGATTCAGGGCATAAATTTTCCCAGTCTGCTCACTGAAGCTTTTAACAGAAGATCATTTAGCCCTGATCTCCTGTTGCAGAACAATTTATTTTCTCCTGTAAGAAGATGGTATGATTTTTCTGGCCTGATTGAAGTAGCAGAAGTGGTTTGAAAGTGATCTCCAGCTGCAGGGCTATACTGGAGTAGTAAAGGGGCTTTGTCTTGTCAACTCCCCTGTAGGTTTTTGCTGCACTTAATATCTGTTTTGATGAGTCTGTGCTTGTATCAGTTGCTAGTGCTGAACTTTAGCTGTGGAGTGTTAAGAATTAACAATTACCAAATGAAGATTTTAATTTAGTGGCTTCTAATTTTAGAAAATACATGATATAATTTTGCCTTGTAAAATTAAAGCTGTTGAATCCTGGAACTAGAAACAATCTTAAACTGATTGCAGTACTTTCCAGTTAGACTTTTTTGTCTGCTTTTCCTGTCTCACTCATGTTAAATAGATTAGGAGCAGCAGGTGACTGTCACCCAAATGGCTGTAATTGTGGGCAGCAAGAGCAATTTGCAAAGGCAATTCAGCATCTAAATGGAAGTTCAAGCCGTTTCTCCCTGGCAGAAGAGACTGAAACTCCTTTGAAGCCTCTGGTTTATGAACTTGCCTCACAGTGCAGGACGTGTGTTTGCATTAATAGGGAATTACATCCCTAGTGCCAGGGAAAAACTGTTGCGATTTGTAATTGCTTGTATTCTCTTTGGCACTCCAAAAGGGTTTGGTCCTTGTCTTTCTTTAAATCTCTGTTGTGCTCAGTGCATCAAAATGGTTCTTCTGTGCTCTTTCCATGAAAGTGAACTTTGTGTCCAGCTGGGCCTGCAGCAGAGTGGAGCTCACATCCATGGAGCTGGTCTGGCCCCGTGGTGTCAGTGGGACAGCATGTGAGGGAAGAGCAGTGCCAGGTTATTGATTGCTGTTGAGAACAGATTTTAGTTTCAAACATCTTCTCTACCTTAATTTGGCTTGTGGAAAGCAAAACTAAGTTAAAAGAGTAATGGCTTGGGTGCTAATTCAGGAATGGGGGACCTGTGTTCAGCACCCTGCTTTATTCATATGCTGCAGATTCCAAGTAAAGGACTCCAGACTAGGAGCTTTGTATTTCTTGCACATGGTTTGTTTGTGTGGCTTAAAGCCAGAGCTTTACACAGGTTATTCTTGTGGTGGGAATGCTTTCCTGCTGCTGCAGAGTTGCTGTGCTGTACTGATGCTGCTGTGCTGTGCTGGCAGAGCTGTGGCTTGTGCTGCTTCAGTGACTTGGCTGCTTCCCACATGCATGAGCCAAGCAGCCAAAGCAAAGCCATAGCAGGGCTCCACTCTCCCTCTGTGAATGGGGAGGTGTTCCTGTCACAGCTCCTTTCTCACGAGGATGGGTGGGGTCCACACTGAGCTGGGGCATTGCATGGGCCAAATCAAAGCAGGAAAGGCCAGTGCCAAGCAAGCAGTGTCACACTTGCTGCTGGATGTAAGGAGTACTTAAAGTTTATATCGTTCTGTAGAAAGAGGTGGGCAGACTCATGTCAAAACAGTGTGTTGAGCTTTTCTGTGTGAGACATGAACTCCCATCTCTGGATGAGGGCTCCCTGTCATTGACCTGTGTAAGAGACCACATTTGTGACTTAGAATATCCCCTGGGTTGCTGCTGTGGGACTGCTTTTACTTGTGTGACCACTGTGCTCTGAGGAAACAAGCTGTGCTGGTCCATGTGCTGAGCAGGGTTGAGTGGCAGCTTGTATTCTGGGTTAGGAAACATGATGGTTCACAGTGCAGCTATGACATCTTAAAAATAGAAGTACCTAAGGTATCTGATATATAACCAAATACTTAAAAGCTTAAATTATTGTAGTAATTACTGAGATTTATACTGGCTGAATTTGGTACTTCATCTGCCACAGCTGAAGTATGGGTTGAAAAAGAACCTGATTATCATCTGTTACTTTTTGTAAGTGATTATCCTCTAGGATGTACCTGGACAAAACCTCATTGCTCATTCTGTATTGCTGCTTCACAGGTTTTCAGCCTACATCAGGGATTCAGGAAAGATTATTCAGAGGAGATTGTTTGCAAGTTGAAGTTTAAGGACCTTAAGCTGGATCTTAAGTTGAGGGGTCTAGTGGTGAAGTTCATGACTTTTGAGGAGAAGAAGGAAGGTGACTGAGAGCAGGTTCTTGTCAGGAGGCTTGCCTGTGCTAGTGAAGGCCCTTTCTTGGCCAGTGCCCCAAGTCTCTGTACAGGAATGACACTGACAGCAGGAATTGTGCAGGCACAGCTACAGGCCATGGACGGAGTTGCTTTTTTTGGTGTCCTGTGAAGTCACTGAGGTTTACCCTAGGCCTGATTGGGTGAGATGCTGAGGCCTGAGCCCAGTCTGAGGTGTTGTCCAGCTCTTGTTGTTGCTGAGCTCTTCACCTTGGTGAGCTTCTCAGCAGAGTTGTGCAGACCTGGTGGAGGAGGACTGATTTATTCCTTTGCACCAAGAAGTGCTGACCTCAGAGTGCAGGTGAGGTTATAATTCAGTTCTCTGCAGCTGTACAGTACTGCTGCTTTGGGATTTCTTTATGCTGCCTCTCCTTACTGAAATATTGATTTTTTGTTATTAGTTTTAGCTCACCTGTGTGCTTGTTGGATGGACAGCTGTGTCCTAGATTGTTCACTGTTTTAACTCTGAATTTGCTATCCTCTTCCAGAGCTACAGCCACTTGATCCCAGACCCTTTTTAGGAGATAGCAGGTGGAAAGGGCTGCAGGAGAAACAGATACCTGAGAACAGCCTGAGCTTTCCACAGTCCTTGCTCAGGCTCTGATTCCTTATCAGTGGCTGTGATGTCCTCTCTGCTCCTTACATGACTACTAGGACCAACCAAATGTGACAGAGTTGGCAAACAAAGGTTGTGTTAGCCAAGGAGTTTGGGAGTCTGTCACTTATTTTGTTGCTTTGAAGACAGTTAAGGTAGGTGTCTGAGCAGTAGCAGCTGCTTCTGCTTTTTCCTGGAAAGCAAGAAGAGTGGAAGGAAAATCCTGGTGCTGCTGATGTATTTCAAGGGGAATGGGTAAAAAGAGCAGGGAATTGACTCCCACAAGTCTCTAGATTTAGAGCTGGC